ATAGAGAAGGTTGAAGGGCAATTTGACTGAGGGGCATAGATAAGGTAGATGAGGAGAAAATTTCCCTTGGTAGAGAATCAGTTATAATGTAAGGAACAGTAGATTTAGAGGGGAGTTGAGGAAAAACTATTTTCACCAAGAGGGTTGTGGGTATCTGGAATTCACTGCCTGAAAGAACGATAGAGGCAGGAACTTTCAGGACATTTAAACAATATTTAGTTGAGCAATTGAAACACCTATGGGCCAAGTGCTGGAAAATGAGATTAGATGTATATATGATGAACAGCATGGAGATGGTGGGCTGAAGGGCCTCTTTCCCTGCTGGAAAGAAACTGACTCTGCGTCACGTGTCATTCACAGTCCTTTCATGCTGCAGTTTCCTGTGCAATTTCTCTAAGTACTAACCTGAATTATCCTACTATCCTGTACTTAATTGGCATGTGATAGTATCTGGGTTTCTCACTTTGACATCCTTATCTCTTGAGTTCCTCTTCAGCTCCTCCTGAAAATGTCTCTTCCTTTTGATGCCATTGTTTACCTCATGGACCACAGCTGTTTCCCTTCCCTGCTCAAAATGTGCTGCATTGCCTCAGTGATGTCCTTTATCCTGGTAGGGAGGCACTGCACCATGTGAGACTCATACCAGAGATTGCAACAACATCTGTCTATCTCCTTGACTATCAACTCCTCTATGACCATTGCATTTCTAAACTGTGATGTCAGCCCCCCAATTCAGTCATGTCCCATTGTGCCAGAGATGTGCTATAGATTGCAATCTCTGGAATTGTCTTCATCCTAATTGATATTGTAATCTCATAGAGGATTTCTGCTTCCTACACTGCTGGATGACCACCCATGTAACGTCTTCCCCAATCTCTGGAGTTGCAGGGTCACTACTTACAGAAATCTGAACGCCAAACGATTCTTGCCAGATCAGAAACCTTTTACTTGCATTTGAACGAGTGAAACTGTTTCCTGTGTGCGTGGTCATTCAGAACAATTGAATTGGGCATTCTGATAGAATGGCAGGCAATGGCTATGAGCTACTGTGTGATTTTGCTTGGAAGTCTGTGAACTTATGTTACATTTTTGTTTAGGTTTGTTACTATTACTTTAATATTAGATCCATTACTGTATTTACACCTACCAAGATTTAATTTATTGCTATTCCTACCCCTTTTAATATTGGTAATGTTTTGGGGAGATGGTGGCCTTGTGGTGAGATCGCTAGATTATTAATCCAGAAGCTCAGCTAATGTCCCAGGGACCCAGGTTTGAATCCTGTCACGGCAGATGGTGGAATTTGCATTTAATAAAAATAAAGTCAGGAATTAAGACTCTGTTGATGACCATGAAACCATTCTCGGAAAACCCATCTGGTTCCTAATGTCCTTTAGGGAAGGAAATCTGCCATCCTCACCTGGTCTGACCTACATGTGCCTCCAGGCACACAGCAATGTGGTTAACTCTCAACTGTCCTCTGAAATGGTCTAGCAAGCCAGTCAGTTCAAAGGCAACTAAGGACGGGCAAGAACTGATGGCCAGCCAGCAATGCCCACAATTGAATAAATTCCTTGTTACATTTTAATTTTCTCCCTTTGGATCTAAGTAATTAATTCTGATTATTTATGTTTAATGTTATCCCCTCAGTTCAAAGCACAAGTACTTTGTCACATTCTCTCTCACACTGTCTCATCTAAAAATGTTTATGACTGGGTGATTTTTTTTTTGTAATTGCTGTGTGAAACCACATTAATTATATTTTGTGGTGCATGTTTGTTTCTCTTCTGTCATGCACGGGTTGTCCAGATATCGGTAGAAGAGTATTTATAATGCTTGAGACTTTCACTTCTTTCCCTCAGATGTCTAACATGCTACCACCTATGGTTGGACCGATTATCCTGGGATCTCATGTGGCAACTATGATGTTGTGGTTTTCGTTGGCACTGCTGCTTTCCACAATTTCACATTGTGGTTATCATCTCCCACTGCTGCCATCACCAGAGTTTCATGATTTTCATCACCTCAAGTAAGCATTAAGAGGTTTGCTCAATTTGGGAGCTATAGCAAGTGAAATCTCCCAGAATTTAATTATCTCTCACTACAGAGTCCATTGCACTAGACAAGTAGAAAGAAATCAAAGTTAAATGTTGTAAAATGTGAATATTTCAGGTGGTATTTAGTATGCGTAAGATGGGGTGGGTGGGGGAAGGACTGTGGATTGAGCCCAAGGAACAGGCACCAGAGAAACAGTCAGTTCAAAGTCACCATGCCTGGGGTTCAGTGTGTGGTCAACTCTGACCACTTGTCATGCTCAACCCATGGCTAGATCAGTTACATTCTGGTTCTCTATTGTGAGCTCACCTCTGGTCTAGTTTGCTTATCTGTTGTTAATTAAATGAGGAGTGAGACTGGCTTCTGTTACTTGGACTGAAATTAATCCGCCCTCAAATTCTTGGCTGGTTTGCTTTGCCAAATCAGTTACTGTCGATCCCATAAAGATCGCTATTAATGAGTTTGCTATGTGTGGGGCGGGGTTTTAATTGTTTGACACCTGCCCTACAAAAGGAGGGAGTTACTTCAAATTCTCCACCTTTGGAAAGAATACTTTTTAAGCCCGATTTGTATTGCTGAGAGTTTACTCAATGGTGGCATTTTATCACGTGAGTGAACAGGCTGTGTTTTTGCAGGTTTAATCAATGCTACGGTGTACTGGGAGTCTTGGATCGCCTACACCAGACTGACACCATATTCAGAGAAACTAAAGCATATGAGCGTCACACGCTCCTGCTCAGCCTTACTCCTCTGTCCGAAAGCATTCCGGACTCCCCCAAGCGCAAGTGAAGGATCCTTAAAACCTCCTTCGGGATCTGGTAACTGCACAATCTTTTAACCCTTTCCTCATAGATCATTAACACTTGCTAGTTGCAGTTTGGTATTTTGAGGAATTTTTTTTAAAAATGCTTTTCTGAGAAGTCTATTATTCAGAAACACTAACTGCAGGGACTCAGTAAATTAGGTGGTCTAAACCATAACTTACTTTTCTGTAAAATCTTTTTTATAGTAACTCAAAATTATAGTTCACGAATAAAGTGTGTGTGTTAAACTGTTGTTTGTTTCCTCATTGCTCGTTCAGGATATCAATGAAACCATTTTCATCTATGCACTTATGCCTAATCTAATAGGAAACCCTCTCCACTTTCACCCCATTGTAGTTTTTGCTCAGATACTGAAAAACAGAGAATCTAATCATCACTGAATCCCCTATAATCAACATCCTTTTTTAGGAATTGATCTGAATAAACCATAACTACAAGGAGCAGTGCATGGAAATTCAGTGGCAAGTAACTTGCCTCTCACCTTCCCCAAAACCATCTACAAGGCAGACGTGATAGGGAATACTCTGCACTTGACTGGCTTTGTGAACCTCCTGTTTGAAGCTACCCTTTGCACTTACACCAATTGTCCTGTCCTTCCCACGAGGCAGTAAATCTGACCAATTTCCTTCTAATGCATTTCACTCCTTCCAAAGCTGATGCTGTAGACAATACCAATGGACAGACTGTCACAATCAGAAGACCATATCCATAAGAGTAGAAATAGACCAAATGGCTTAAAAAGTCCACTCCATCTTCAATGAGATCATGGCTGATCTGGTAACTACCAGCTCCACGTTCTGACCTTATCACCATAACTTTGCAGTAAAGAATTCCACAGATTATCACTTGGAGGAAAAAATCCTCAATGACAGTCTAAAAGTGACTTCTTACTCAGATTATGCCCTCTGCTACAAGGGTAAATAACTTCTCTGCATCTACCCTGGTAGGCTCCCTACAAATCTTAAGTTTTTAAAAAATACCGGAGTGAGACTTGAACCTTTGACTCAGAGCAAAGAATGCTATCCATAATCATAGCAGAAATCCTTCTACATTACATTTTAAAATGTTTATTCACTTGCCATCAATAAGGTTAATGTGATCAATTAAATCAACATCAAGGCTATGACAGAAATCTGGCTGGAAGGGTGATAACAACTTCCCCTTAAATGAAGCCTTCTGACCTAGCTGCACCTTCTTATTGCAGTGTCAGTGTTACTATGGCTCAATCACCAGAACACACCTTGAGCTGCTGTGTTACTCCTCTGGCTCTGAGCATCTTGCCCTGGTCCTACCAACTCTCCAAGTACCATTCTCTATCCCTCACCCAAGTATTGTGCCAAGTTTCTCTTTGCTTCTTCCAGCAGCCTCTGCACTGACTTATCCTTGTTTGTTTCAGATACATCTCAATTTATCATGATTGGTTTCTTTCACTGTCTTAAATTCACAGCTCTCATGCCAAGGCACATGGAGAGCAGACAGGAAAGTGGAGGTATGACCACAACCAGGTCAGCCAAGAACTTGCTGAATGGTGCAGCAGGCACCAAGGGGAAAAATAGCCTTCTCCAATTCCCAAGAACATCAACAACTTGTCTACCAAAATGTTTGTAACCATATGCCTTGATCCTCCAGTTGCTTGGCACCACTTTCCTCAATGGTTTGGTAGATGACTCCTCCACAAATTAACAACAACCAGACTCCTTGTGTAAAGCCTTTCATTTTGCACTCATCAAAACTGACATGCAAGATACCAAACTTGTAAAGGGAAATTATATTATTCAACTTGAGGGGAGGGTGCTGATTTGGTTAGACTATGATTGACATGGAGATGCTGCAGAACTATTTACTGTCAATCATAGTTCACTGATAAAACTCAGACCAGGCATGTAGACTCTGGTCAGGCTTTTTCCATGGAGAATATAGCAGGGATTTGTAATTGCTAAGGTAAAGGTAAAATTGCCAAAATCCCCGATGATCATAGGCTGCTTTCTTATTAGAGAGAAACTGAGTTGGACCGGATATAAAAATACAACTACAAAAAGGTCAGAGGCTAGGAATTCTATGAGTAACTCATCTCCTGACTCTCCAAAGCCAGTCCACTATCTACATGGCAAAAGTCTGATGCAATTTGCTCCACTTGACTGGAATGAGTGCAGCTCCAATAACATTCAAGCTTGACAGCATCCAGGACAAAGCAGCTCACTCAGCTGGCACTTCCTCCCTTGCCTCTGGTTTACCGAGGTAAGTGTCCCCCAACTACAACATGCAATGCAGTAACTCCCCACGGCTCATACGGCTCTTCTAAATTTTGGATTTCTACTACTAAGAATAATAATGCTGTTTTTTCACTGCCAGATCAAAATCCTGGAACTCCGCTTTCTAACAGCACCGACTGTGCACTTACACTACATGTAGCAGTTCAAGATGGCTGCTCACCAACATTTTCTCTCAATGGAAATTAGGAATTCTAAATAATCACTGCTGCAGTACAGTAACTCCAAGGATATCGATAATGGAGATTTCAGGGAAGGCATGTATCAGCTCAAGATGCAATATAATCAAGATGTATTTGGACAGTGGTGGCTTCACTATCTGTGGAATTGCAAATGGTGCTGAACATTCTACGGTCATCAGCAAATGCCCTCAGTTCTGGCCTTATGATGGCGCGTATGTCATTGACGAAACAGAAAAATGGTTGGCTCTCAGATATAACCCTAAGGAACTCCTGCAGTGATGCCCTGGAACTGAGATGACTGACCTCCAACAATAACATCCCTTTCTTTGTGCTTGGTATAACTCCAACCTGCAACAATATTTGGTTAGAAATATAGGTCTAATTAAGGAATAAAAGGATTCATGTGGATGTTAACCGTGAAAAATTCCATCACAGCTAGTAGGAAAAAGATATACCTTAAAGAGGGCATAGAGATTACACAATGCTCCAAGTGCACAACTTTGACAAGAAGTATAAACAATAGTTTAATCACCATAAGGAGGTCTGGAAAGACATGTAGCAACATCACACCTAGGGTGAAATTAAAATATCAATTACAGAGCAAAAGTAAAATATTAATTACAGAATAAATACTGGAACCATCCAACTGATAAGAATGGCAAAGATTCTTACCACATGAATACCATTAGAAACCAGCAAAGCACAACATTCATTAAGACAGATAATTGAAACAGCTTTACTGATAAATATTTAACAAAGGATTCTTTTAAGATTTTAAGGATAAGGAAGAAATGAAAGGAATACCCATAAAATCTCTCTACTGGTAAACCTTTAACAAAGATTCTTCTAAAATGGAAAGAGTAAGGGAGAGATGAAAGAAGTATGAAACATCACAAAGAAACTGACTAAATAAAAAATCAACTTCATAAAGTAGTCTTCAGAATAATTAAGGAATAATGCTAATTGAAACAGCATTGCATGAAAAGTGCAAGAAACCGATACAGAGGGCTGACACCCTCATTTGCAAAGCAGTTGTCAAAGCAATACTAAAAAAACTGCAAGACTCTTGCACTGAAAATTTATAAGTATTAGAAGCCCTCAGAGAATACTTCTCAAAAAATATTCTCCCACCAGAAAAGATCTCTTATTTGGTTGAGGTTTCAAGATAATACTACTTTAAATGTTGACAGATGTTCTGTTAGCTATTCTTAGTTTTCTTAGATAGAGTAGTTATAAATAACAACAAATTGGATTCTATTGGATTTGATATGAACTCTTGATTATTTTGGCAAAGCAGTAAACCTACCTACTTAAAGCCTATTGCCTGTTAATTTTTGTTATTAAAATTGTGAAGTTAGTAAATTGTCTCATTCAAGTTTTCTGTTACAACTGTAACAAATCTTAATACCCTTTACACTTCCTTAAGTGGGCCATGTATTTTCTGGCGAGTAATGGAACATGTGTAGCATAGCTAAGGCTTATTAAAATTAAACTGGCTACTTGGAGGACAGTAACATTCTCAGGCAGCAGCTTCTCCTGTGGGATAGAAAATAGGAGGATAGGCCATCTGGCCCTTCAAGCCTGCTCCACCAGTCAATACGAGCATGGCTGATACTGCATCCTCTAATGGTTGCATATATCTTACAAACACAAAACTTTTAAGCGTTTGTGAAACTAACTAGCTTCAAGTCATCAGATAGAGGTTATCAGGGCAGCAGTCCTGATCTAAGTTAGCTCTTAAGAAAAAGTTAAAAGCTATAAATCAGTTCAAACTGATGCAGAGTTCTCCCACATAATTGGACAAAGCACGTGAGCCAGAGTGCGGTCAGGGCAAATATCGTTTGCAATATCTAGTGCCTTTTGCCATTTCTTAATAGGACTTGAAGTGAAATAATTGGCTTGAAGTTTGCCTTTGTAATGCAGGGACCATTACAAAGGGGTAGAGATAAATCATGCACTCAGCACTTGTGACTGAAGATCATGTGGGAGCAGAGCAGCATTACTGATCTGAAAGCATGCAATCTAGGTGATGCAAGGGAATCTAACTGCACAAAAAAGTTGTTTCAGCACAGAAAGAGCATCATAACCTCAACTGAGATCAAACAAGATAGAAGCTCAAAGACAAACTCCTGGACATTCTTAGATTATGCTTGGACAGTCTGACTGGCATTAGTTACCAACTACAGCCCTGCTAAACATGGAATCCTAGACACAGTCAGCAGGTTTTCTACCCATGCAGTGGGAATACACAGATTAGGGGACAAAATGCATTGAAAGTCAAACTCCAGCTCTCTTTACATTGAAATAACCAGACCCAAACAATAGTCTTTTTAGTGTTTTTTTTAATTTTTTGTACATTTTAATTGATTTTTTATATAAAAGGAAAGCAGAATTACCACAAATTACAAAGGGCGAAACACTACCCGGAAGGAACCACATCAGACTAAAAAGCAAATACTCTAAGTGATTAATAGTTTATGTTACAAGCTCTTGTTCAAGTATTTTACAAGTTTGTTTTTTAAAAGTGGGATAAATCTGCATCTGTTGTAGTTTCTATTATTACAGCAGCCAGGATAAGGAGACTCACCAGCATCCTAAGCAGGCACTCTGGGCATCCACTTCAGGTTAATGTTTCACTCAGCCTAGCTCTGCATGTCTACATTTAAACTGCTAAGGAACTGTAATAAATACTGAGCCACACATTGCTGCAAGAGGTGATTTCTGGCTCATGAAAGCACCAGATCCCTTTTACAAACCATCAATCTGTCAATCTATTTAACAATAGGTTATGCTCAAAGCTGAACCACCTGACCAATATTCCCGGTGGTCGGAAGCTAAGAGCATTAGTAATGAAGCAGCTGAAACAGAACCATCAGCTTTCAGTGGAGAAATAAAAGACAAACACAGATGTTCTGCCAGGAGCGGCACTTCAAATTCAGAGATGAGAATATTTGGGTCTGGATACTGAATTATTTTGGGCTGGGTAGGGGAAGCTGGTGAATAGAAATGTACTAGTGTTCCAGCATTTATGTTTACCATCAGATGTCATACTGCAGCCTGAGGACATGGTTGCCCACTCCTGGGATGACACAGCCAGCCTTGGCCTGCAAGGGCACGGCTGCGACAGTTTGTGGGGCAGGATTGCAATATGCGAATTTACGTGGGGTTCAATTATGAATTTGCCCTTAAAAGGACACACTCACTTTCCGCTATATGCAGTGGCATTCACATTTAAAACATAATTGCACTAGTGTTCCAGCATGTATGCTTACTGTAATGACCTGGCTACCCCAGCCCGTGAAGACCTGGCTACCCCAGCTCTTGGGGGCAAGAGTGCAATACACGGAGCCTCTAGCCCTGTCCGTGGTTCCTGTACAAGTCTGCCCTTAAAAGGGCAAGCTCTTACTCCTTATGTGCAGTAGCAATCAAATTAAATAAACTAAAAGCCCATTTACTATAGGCTTTGGATGGAATCTAAAATAAAACAGAATGACCTGAAGCAGTCTTGATATGTGTGAAATGGTTGGAAGCTGAAGTGAACTAAACTGAACTAAACTAACATGAAACTTGCTAATCAGAATGGGCTTACACACTGGTTTGAACTTTCCGAATGAATATTTGTGGGAAGAAATGTCTATTAAAGAAAGGAAACTAGTGCAAGCCCGACCACACAGAACAAGAAACTGCTGCACATTTACAGCTCATTGATAATATTGGAAATAGAATTAAATGTTCTAAAGAAATGCACCTATTTACCCCTCATTCAGTTGCTGTCACAAAACAAAACTGACCTCCAGCAGCCCAGAATTCACAAAGCTGTTTTTAAAAGGTGCACTCAAAGCACTTTAGCAGCTTGTGCACTATTTACACATAGAGTTAAGAGTCATGAGGTTTACCATAATCAATTCCCAATCTTCACATAAACAGTAACATTGACAAACTCGTGGTGCAGTTCAACAGGGTACCTTGTCCAAATCCCCACCAGATTAAGGCAACCACCCCTCCCAAGTATATCAATGCTGTTCAGTGCAGTGAAATATTCTAGTCTAACTCATGACCTTTCCTTCCTCCGTTCTCACTCTGGGTTTGCAATCTCACAGCAAATTAGAGGCTTTACTCTGAAGGATTCATAAACAACCTCTGAACTGATATCTACTACTGCCGGTTCAACAGTGGAGCAATTTGGAGCAAGTCCAGGCTGCAATCAGGAACAAGACCTTCTGTGTCACTGTAGTTGGCATATGCCTCAGTAATTTCACACAATTCCCATTATTCTGGAGAGAAGAGGACTGGATTCTTGAGTAAATGAACTAAACAGAACATTTGAAGAGATAGAGTCATCACGGTTTACCAAATACTTCACAAATCTTGCTAAGTTGCAAGAAAGCTAGAAGCAATTTGAAATGTGGAACTTTTCCAGAGATTTAACAGACCAGGTACTCCTGATCAACTGGAGGTTCACATCCTCCCCTGCCGAGGGGTTTGCACATACCCTGGACACTTCACTGCACATTCTCTAGACTCTTTATAACTCTAACTTGAAAAAAAGATTTTTTGTATTCTCAGTCAAGCTGTTTGACATGACTAATACTGAGAGTGGGCTGTCAGTGTCTACCTGGACAGTTAACATATATAAAATATTTCAGCTCAGTCAATTCCAGTCTTCAGTTCAGGGCCTTCTAAACTCTGAATTCTAGTGCAAAACTGAAATCTTGTGTATGGCTTGCACGCTTAGAGTAGAAATTATTTAGAAATCATGGAAACATCTGGGGTCACCCAAATACTGACAATGTTCAATGGACCATCCAGCCAATAGACAGAACCTTAAACATCTAAATGGCAAACTTGCAACAAAATGGAACAAGTGGATATTGTGGCTCCAGAAAACAATGAATGTTAAACCAGGTTCTGGGAACACGTGATTTTGCTGCATGTTAAGTCGGCTCTTGGAAGTGTGTAGTTATATCAAGCGTTAAACTCATTCCCAAGAGCACACAGCTACAAGTGTTAAAATGGGATATTTCACAACAATGAAGTTAAATTCATCATTTAGAATACAAATTAAAGATCTAACCTTCAGACAGCAACAAGCAACTGGAAGAAAGATTGCAGCAGTCCAAAGCAGTCAAGCTTTTCACTGAGCATCATTGCTTATGAGGGAGATCAGTTTAATTAGCACGGACAGATGGTTTAAATTCCATGCCTGTAGCAAGAGAGTTGTAGACTGTGTCTTCACAGCAGGTCGAAAGAGAAGCTGGACTACTAATTATACATGTATGCTGACCGTTTAAGCTGTGGTACTTCACCTGTCAACTGGCTGCAATGTTTAACAGTGGCAGTCAAAGTAGAGAGCAGAATGGGTAGGTGTTCAGATAAACAAGACTGGGACCTGGAGACAATGGACAGGTGTTCAGGTGAACAATGCTGGGACAGGGAGAATGGGCAGGTGGTCAAGCAAACAATGCAGTGGAGAGGGGGCATAGAAAGCGAGGGAAAGGGAAAGAGAAAGAGAGAATGGACAGGTGTTCAGGTAAACAACGTTGGGACATGGGGTCAATTGAAGGTCCAAGTATACAACACAGGGCAGTGGGGGCAAAGGGGCAAGTGGTTCAAACATTTCAAAAAAGGGAAGTGGAAAGAAAAAAATGTCAAAATGACTTTTAACCAGCTGTTGGTGGAAGATGTACCTTTCACCCAGAGAAATGCAGAATAAATCCACAGCACCTTTGTTTTTTTTAATAATATGTGCAACTAACTTATTCCCAGCATTTGTGAAACCCAGAATTTCTTTGGCAAATATGGCTAGTTTTCTCACTCCAGGAAAAAAAAACATTCAGCTATAATTTTTTCATGGTCTCACATTATATACAAATCGTCCCATGAATCATACACTGGAGTTCTAAATGCAAGTGAGAGTGTAAAATGAGCAAAGAGAAGTTTAGCAAATATTCTAAGTTACCTGAAATAAAAACATGTTCAAGATCTAGGTTCCTGTCTAGTGGAGGCATTTTTTTTAAAAACTATTTCTCATTTAAATAAAAGCAGCTTCACATTCTCCTAACTGAGCTGGCTGAGGATTCAGGATGCCTCAACCCTGAATTACTGCCAACAATGCAGTTTTTTTTAGTTATAAGTACGTCAGTCTGATTTGCATGAAAATTCTGGTAAAATTGGTCAAACCCAACTGATTTACAAGTGATCATAGCCCTGTATTACAGGAACTCCTGGGAGTCACTGGGACTCCTCCAAAGAATATGGTGTAAACAATACATGTTTTCAAAATCACACTGAGAAGCAAAGTCACTCCCCAAGTTCTCGTACATTACTCAAAACTTCTTAAACTGACCTGCTTTAGTCAGGATTTTATTTCCTACAGGTGGCTGCTGTCTTAACTGACTCATCTTCATGAAGAATTAGCATCAATGGCAAATGTTAGCCTGAAGATTAAACATCCATCAACAAGGATCAGGGAGCTTCGCGTTCAGGGAGTTCAGCACAGAAGCAAGGAAGGCAGAAACATCAGTCAACACTCAATCCACAATGACATCTACCTGATTTTACAGTGGCAGACGAGACCAGCCAAAAAATTCAACCCAAACCAGTTACATGACAATATGGGTGCCTTTCCTCAAGCACTGGCAAATCACAAAACCCCTCCAGCCTCCAAAGCAGCCCAGGACATCCTACCAAACATTAACGCCACTAACTGGCATGGCAGGGAAGACAAAGCCTGCTGACAGAGCGAGAGGGATAGAGGAAGAGACAGAAAAGAAAGAACAAGCATGCGTGAAAAGGTGGAGACTAAATGAGAACGAACAATAAAAGCACTCAAAATGCAGGAGTCAGAGAGCAGAAAAAGTGAATTTACTTTCACCGAGAGCACCATCCAAATAGATGGCTCATCAAACTCGTCAACAGCTCTCCTCGAGGAAAAGCCAGCCGAGAATCCGAGCTCGGAACTCAGCTGTAGTTAGAAAAGCAAAGCTATCAGGCTTCACCCAGTACCAGCTCCTCTAGAGCCCAAGAATGCAATTCATCCATGAGAAACATGCATACCAATCACAACATAATAATGATATTACAAATATCACAGTAGCGTGTCCCAATGTGCTCTGATGTAGCTAGTCTGCCATAATCACAGGGCTCAGTTTTTCTGTACACTGCTAACCAGACCACAATAAATGTGACAATGATTAACAAAATGAAAATGCAAAGCCTTGTACTCCTAGTGATGGTCACATTTCCAGAACAACTGCTAAAATGATGGGAGTTAAGATTACCACTGTACCAAAACATCGAAAATAAAATCACATTGCAACATCCCTACATAACACACATTCTGAGAATGATGTTGCCTGATATAAATTTCACCAATGTTACTGCTGTTACTCCAAGCAGGCAGCTCATCAACTAAGATGAAGCTGGGCTGTAGCAATTTTCAAAGTGATGCCGGTTTGGGTTTGGGAGAAGCGAAAAGACAATCGGACAGGAGCAATAAAATGCTTGTGGCCAAAGGCACTGCAGCAGTGACTTTGGCAGAGAGTTTGACATGGGGCCAATGAGCCGTTGCCATGACTACTTGCTAACATCTTTATATCTGGTTATCAAACTGAAGTCCTTTACCACAAACGAGCGGAATAAGGCCTGACAGAAAGGTTATCTGCCACTCAATAGGATTTGCACCTTAAGTCACCTTCCCTATTTGATTCCGCCTGCGGTAACTTTTAAATTGGGTACAAACAAAACCTTGACAATTCAAAATCCAGGATAAGGAACTGATAATTTTATCAAGATTAGAGGCCAATAGGAGAGTCATTAGCCGAGCGAGCAGAATTTAATATATGCTGCCCAGAAACAGGAGCAGGCAGTAATAAGGCATCTTTTTAATCCCGTTCTCAAGGGACGGGTTTTGATTTTTTTGTTTTTTTTGTGTTTTCTGGATATGAGTGAAGCTGTATTGTCGAACCCCAAATCAAGCAGGTGAATTATATTTTAGCCAATTGTTCTCATGCAACATTCATTCATATGGGTGAAAGACGTGAAACTGGCTTTGAATACAAGTCTTCAGGCAGGTGATGCATTTGTCCACTGCCCAGCATTGAAGAATGTCTGATATCTGATATCTGGCCCAGTTTTTCAGTCAGTCAGTCAGTCATCGAGGTGACAATACCAAAAGTTCAAATAAAAGATCCAGAGTTGAGGGTCAGAGTCCAAGCTCTATTTGTCTGCAGTTTCCACTTCCAAGAACTCGGCTGAAGCAGGGTTCTGGCTCAGAGTGGGGTTGGTTTCTTCTGTTGTGGTTTTGGAGAGGAGCTGCATCCCAGTCGCAGCTTCACTGGTGGCGCTTGCGGTTTTACTGGAAGACGATGATGGCAAACGCCTTTTCTCTTCTGCTCCTGAAGAATGACGCTTGCGGCCAATTTCATCACAAATTGGTGGCTGCAACAAAAACAGTTATTGTACAACTTGGTGAATTGCATTTCTCATTGGTTACAACTGCGTACTGTTCTCATCTTATGTTCAAAAATTTTACAATATAAAGAACTACACATAGAAGCTTAAAAAATGATAATTTATCAACAATGTTTCAATGTTATGTTAAACACTATAAAAGCAGATTGTGTGCCTTTAAGAGACAGTAATTCTACGCTAAAACCATAAAACACAGGAACAAAGTTAGATCATTTGGCCATCTGGTCTGCTCCGTATTTCAATCATGGCTGATATGTTTATCAATCCCTTTCTCCCTGTAACCCCGATTCCCTTACTAATCAAGAACCTACCGGTCTTAAATACACTTGATAACTCAGCCTCCATAGCCTTCTGGGGCAAACAGTTCTACAGATTAACCACCATCCCTGAAGAAATTCCTCATCTCAATTGTAAAAAGCCATCCGTTCACTGAGGCTATACATTCGGGTCCTAGTCTCTTCCACTAGTGGAAACATCTTCACCATGTCCACTCTAGCCATGCCTCTCAATATTGTCTGAGTTTCAATCAGATTCCCGTCATCGTTCTAAACTCCATCGAGTAGGGATCCACAGTCCTCAACAGTTCCTCATTTGACAACCCTTTAACCCTGAGATTATTGTTGTAAACCTCCACTGGACTCTCTTCAATGCCAGCACTTCCTTCCTTAGATACAGGGCCCAAAACTGCCCATAATATTCCAATGCGGTCTGACCAGAACCTTACACAACCTCAGCAGTATGTTTCTTCTCTTGTGTTGTAGCCCACTTGAAAGTGACGCTAACATTGCAGTTGGTTCCCTCACAGCCAAATGAACCTGCACATTAACCTTAGGAGTCCTAGTTCAGGACTTCAAGTCCCTTTGTGCTTCAGATTGTGCCGTTCTCATTTAGAAAACACTCTACATCTCTTTTCTTCCTTTCAAAATGCATATCCTTATACTTTTCCACACTGTATTCCATCTGCCACTTCTTTGCCCACTCTCCTACCCTGTCCAAGACCTTCTGCAGCCTCCCCGTTTCCTCAAACACTGCCCCTTCACTTATCTTTGTGTCAGCTCCTGTGCGGCACTTTGTCAAAGTCCTTCTGGAATTCCAAAAAGATCATGTTCACTGGCTCTCCTTTGTCTAATTTACTCATTACCTCCTCAAAGAAATCTAACAGATTTGTCAGGAATGACCTCCCCTTGAAGAAGTCATGCTGACTCAGCCCTATTTTACCATGCACTTTCCAAGTACTCCGTAATCTCATCCTTAATAAGGGGCTCTAAAATCTTATCCACAACCAAGGGAGGCTAACCGGCCTATAGTTTCCTGTCTTCTATCTCCCGCCCTTTTTAAACACTGTGTTCCGTTAGCTGTCTTCCAGTCCTCTGGGACTCTCTCTAACTTCAGTGATCCCTGAAAGATCACTACCAAGGCCTCTACGACTCCTCAGCTATCTCCTTCAGAACACTGGGTGTAGTCCATCTGGAACAGGTAATTTATCCACCAACGGGACTACTTGTGTACCAAACAGCATAAACAGTAAGTGATAGAGCTAGGTGACTCCACAAACAACAAATCAAAGCTAAAACATGCAGGCCTGTCACACCCAGTTGTGAATGATGGTGGATGATTAAACAGCTTACTGGAGAAGGAGGCTGCACAAATATTCCTATCCTGAATGAGTGTGAACTGCAGCACATTTGTGCAAAAGATGAGGCTGAAACATTCACAACAATCTTTAGCTTGAAATGTTCAGTGCTGATCCATATTGAACTTCTCAGAAGTCTCCAGTATTAGAAATGCCAGTATTCAGCCAAACTGATTCACTCCACGTGATATCAAGAAACGGTTGGAGGTACTGGATACTAAAAAAGCTATGGGCCCAGACACCAGTCTGCCAATCATTTGCAGGTTTGTGCTCCAGAACTTTCTGCACCTCGATGCAAGTTGTTCCAGTATAACTGCAGCACTGGCATTTACCTGACAAAGGAGAAAATTGCCCAGTTATGTCCTATGCATATAAAGAAAGTAGTACAAGTCAACCCAGCCAACTGTCCCCACCTTTGACTACTCACGATGATGCAAATACCTATTTAGTTCCTCCGCTACTTCATTGTTCCCCTTTACTACTTCTCCAGCTGTCTCGTGCCCACACTTGCCTCTCTTACTTTTAGATATCTAAGAATCTCTTGCAATCTTCTTTCACATTATTTGCTAGCTTACCTTCATATTTGAACTTGTCCCCTTGCTTTCTTATAAACCCCTTCTGGTTTTTAAAGGCTACCCAGTCATCTGTTTTCCTACTAATCTTGACCACTTTTTTCTTTTGCTTTTAAGCTGTGGCTGCTTCCCTCATCAGCCATGGCTGCCTCATCCTCCCGTTAATATGTTTCTTCATCTTTGGGTTGAATTTCTGCTGTGCCTCCTGAATTACACACAGAAACTCCTGCCATTGCTCAGTCTTACCTGTTAGGCTTCTCTTCCAATCAACTCTGACCAGGGCTCCTCCCTCATATCTTTGTAGTTACCTTTACTCAAATGTACTACCATTGCATCTGTTTTCAACTATCATACTATGGTCACTGATCCCGAGGGTTCTTTCACTTTAATTTCCCTAATAAAGTTTACCTCATTACACATCAATTCCAGAATTGCCTGTTCCGTGGTGGGCTGCACCACAAGCTCCTTCAAAAAGCCATCTTGTAAACATTCCACTTTTCTTCACTTGAAGTCCCTTGTGATTATTGTAACAATGCCTTTGTTATGTCTTTTCTATCTTCTGTTTTTTTTACACATCCTGGCAACTGCTAGCAGGCCTGCACACAACTCCAATCAGGATCTTTTTTACCTTTGCAGTTCCTCAACCCCACCCATACAGATTGTAAACCTTCCGACTCTATCACACTTGCTATTGATTTAATTTCATTTCTTAGTAACAAAGCAACCCTGCCCCCTCTGTCCGTCTGGCTCACTAATGTCCTTTAGAGAAGGAAATCTACCCTTATTTGGTCCTGCCTATATGTGACTCCAGAGCCACAGCAATGTGGTTGATTCTTAACTGCCCTCTGGGCAATTAGGGATGCGCAATAACATTGCTGGTCAGCAACATCAACATCACATGAACAAATAAAAATCTATCCATGATATACTTCATCAACCATGTATTTGCTCATTCGTTCAAAGTGTCTAAATCCTCTTAAGCCACTTTACCTCCTCCTGACAATCACCTAGTTTCATGTCATCAGCAAACTTGAAGATACTACATTTGATTCCTTCATCCAAATCATTCACATATATTGTGAATACTAGGTACATCCTCAAAAATTCAAAATGTTCATCAAATGTTATTTCCCTTTCATAAGTCTACATTTAACTTTTTCTAATCCCATTGATATTTTCTAAGTGCCCAATAATCTCATTTTTTTTATAATAGGCTTGAGCACTTCATGAGCTATGTGTTCGGGTTCAGGGTACAACTTTAACATTTGTAGATGATATGAAACTTTGAAGTATTCTGAACGGTGAGGAAGATAGTATAAGGACACAGATTGGGCAAACAAGTGTCAGATAATGTCAGTTACACGGACATTCTACAGAAGTTGCGGCTCTTTGTCAAAGGGAAGGTTGAGAGGAGACTTGTTACAGGTATTCAAAATCACAAGAGGTCTAAATACAATATTCAGAAGAGGAGAAACTGCGCCCAGTGGTGGAAAGATACCAGGAGACATACATTCAGGTAGCTGGCAAAAGTAGTAATGGCAGCATAAGAAACATTTCTATATAGCAAGTGGTTAGGATCTGAAATGCATTGCCTGTATTAATGATGGAGGCAGTTAACATAAAAAATAGGAGCCCTTTAAGCCTCTACCATTCAATGTGATTATGCCAGATCCGTCTTTTTCCCTTTGATCCCTTTTGTGCTAAGGACTATAGCTAACTCCTTCTTGAAAACATTCAATGTTTTGGCTTCAATTGCTTTCTGTGGTAAAGAATTCCACAGGCTCACGACTCACTCAATGAAGGAATTCCTCCACAGCTCCCTGTATAGGCTCCCATTCCCCTGTCATTTTCATTGAAACTCTCCCCAGCTGCAGTTGTAAATATCCCATTAGCCATCCGTTCTGGTCCTGCCTAGGTGCTACCCGTCCAGCCTGTCCTGTCCCATTTCTCCTTGAATTCATCCCAATGTCCCAAGAATCTGAGCACACACCATCAACCCCCCAACCCCCTGCCACCCTGCACCATCTCTTTAGCCACATATTCATCTGTTATATCCTGTTATTTCTACTTTGACCAAAGTGAGTAGGTCAGAAATCAGACAACACCAGGTTATAGTCCAACAGGTTTATTTGAAAACACAAGCTTTCGGAGTCTTACTCCTTTTTCAGATGTTAGTGAGAGGGTATTAGGTGTGAGACATTATTTAGAATCTGTTTGTGTTTTGGTTTGGAGTAAAGGCCTCACACCTAACATGCATTGTCTGACCCGAAATGTCACCTCCTCTTGACAACTCCTCAGGACAGTGACTTGAAAGGAATTTGGGGATTTACATATACATATTAATCAATTAAAACTTTCGAACTGATTAACTATTTAACAGCATCTTAGGTTTGTTTAATCCTTATCAGTGGTGTGACCCTTTGATATTTAATTAAAAATTGTGTGTCTGATACTACCTTCTCACTAACACATGGAGAAGGAATAAGATTCCGAAAGCTCGTGCTTTCAAATAAGCCTGTTGGACTATAACCTGGTGTCAATTGATTTCTGACCTGTCCACCTCGGTCCAACACTGGCACCTTCATTTCATAAAATGAGTAGGGCATGGCATCAGCAACCAAGATCATTACTTTTAATGACTTATCCTATCTATTCTGTTTAGATCCCCTGTGATTTTTAAACTTGTTTCCCAACTCCCTACCTTGTTTATATAACCTCATCCATTTTTTCCTTAAAATGGAGGCTTTCAAAAGGAGAAATGAATCATCTTAAAAAGGAGATTTTCAGGACTGTGGGGAAAAAGTAGGAATTCCTCCAGAAGGACAGAAGAGTCATGACGGACTTTATTTTTGTGGCATAACCGTTCAATGATTCTGTTTTCTTAGCTGCCTGATCAACCTTAGCCTGTCATCTTCAAGATGTGCACGTGCTCCCCAGTATTGCTTTGATCTTGCACCCAATTCATACTACACCACTTGTGGCACTGTTTTATTTTTCAGTCAAAGGGTATCACTTCAGTTTCCTGAATCGAATTTTACTGTTCGGGTATCTACTATTTCCCAAGTCTATTCATGTTTTCTTGTACTCTGCAGTAATGAAGCTCACTATATGTTGCCAAGTTTCACATCGTCACAGACCTCAAAACTGTACAAGTCCAGGTCATTTATATACATTAATAAAGCCAACAGGTTTACTGCAGACTGGAGGACCAGGCTACACACTATCTTCAGTCAGAGAAACATCCGTTCACCACTGGTGACTGCCTCATATCCTTCAGCTAATAACATATACAGATTATCACTGGCCCTTCAATATGAAATTCTATTTTCTAAATATGGCTGTTATGATTTACTTTATCAATACCATTTTGAAATCATATATCCATCAACTGTACTACCTTCATGAACACTTTACACAACTCATAAGGAGGCAATCAGGTTAAACAGGCAGTTGTCTTAACAAATCTGTGCGAACAGTCCCTTATGATTCTCCAAATGAAAATTAATTTTGTGCTTGACAGTAGTCAGTTGTAATTTTCTCGCCACTGGAGTTAGACTATAGTTAACAGGTTTATACTCTCACCAACCCCCAGCTTCACCCTCACCATTTTTGAATGTAGGTTCAATTCACCCCTGTAGAAGAACACGTTTAGGATAGAAGAGCGAAAATCATTTTCAGCGGATGCTGCCATAGTCAGGTGGGGATGCAGTTGAGTCGAGTTTGAGTGACTGAAGATCATGGCTATGAATATATTCTCATTCATGTAACAATTGTCCCCCCTATCCAGCAGAAGACAAATTATTCATTCAAGGGTTAGTGAGCCACACTGTGTGTTACTTACATCCACCCGAAAATCTTCCAGACGTTTAAATTTGCTGAGGTATTCTTGAAGTTTTGGATCAATGTCCAGATTCTTAGCTTTTGAATACTTTAGATAGGCCCAGAATTTCTCTAATCCATACAGCTGCCCTAATATATCAAACAAAACAAAAAATGCAAAATTTATAATAATTTAGGGCACTTAAATCTATTTCGTACCTGAAACTATACTTAATCTATTCAAAGTACTAAACTTATTGTGTAAAGTCATGTTCAAGATGCTACATCAAAGCATTAATGTTCTAAAATTAATCACTATAATAGGTATCTAAAAGGAAGACAACAGCATTCAGTCCTCCAGACAAGTATGTAAAACCTAGCCACTAAAATTCTAAAATTAAGCACAGTGACAAATCTAATCAGTGATTGACCCAAACATGCTAAAACCAATTTAAAAAATCCATCACTAACTCACTAAAATTGATCATTAACAAAGACACTAAAGTTAATCATTGAAGTACAGAAATCAATCTGTGATAAACTGATAATCAAATAAAACTGTCAATTCTTTTGGGGATAAGAGAATTAGGGCATTTGTACTTCAAGTCATTCTCTCCGTAATAAGGGCCTTCTCACGTTGGGAGCAATCTTACCACATGCCGTCAAAGTAGTACAACAATCAGCCACAGAACGAGCCCACAGAATGCTAGATATTCACTACCAATTATGGCAATTTTTGATCACTGATGTTCATAGGTGAGCCAAAAACAAATCTAACTTCATCTGATATCCATTAGCATTGCTCAATGGGAAGTATTGGACAAACGATCAGATGTTTCCCTTCTTTAACTTGTGCTGCTCAGCAAACATGAAGGTGCTGAATCATGAGGACCTTTTATTCTTGATATGAAACTTTAGAATATGTTATTCCATTAAGGTCTGAAACATTTTGGTTTTACAAGTCTATTTGTCTCCAACACTGCCTCTCATTTTTAATGATGGAATGACTCCTCTTCTGGGTCTGAATTCATGGGCTTTCTGAGACAACTAAAAAAATCCAAAAATGCAAGATGTCTAAGAATCAATAACCACGCAGATATTCAATCCCAATTTCCAGGATAAAGAAAAGTTGTTTATACAAGAAAGAAACATTTTACCCGCTTCATAATCCACAATGGTTTCTTCCTGGAAATCCTTGAAGATCTCCGGTCTAAACTTTCTTTCAAGGCCATAGCTATAATATCTGAAAAGGCACTCCAGTCCGTATCTATGGAAAACAGACAGACAGACATTGTGACATGACATTTTGGACAGACCACAGATATAAACTCCAATATTATCCTACATTATTAGGACAGAAGACAGTGAACACCACAAACAAAATGCCATTGGTTTCTAACCACACAATTAATTTCAACAATGAACGTTGATCAACTTGTTAGTAATAATAGGATGACAATAATTCAATAAATAGTTATAACCAGCTTGTATAATCTCCATATTAGATGACCAATAATGTTTAAAATGCAGAAGAAAGCTGTTTGATCTATCACAAAACCAAACCCACAGCTCCATAGTCTCTAAGTCCAACACCTTCCCACGTTTCAAATTTTTATCCTTAATGATTCAGTGCTCTGGAGGTCAACTACTCCCTGTGGAAAAGCCTTTTCCATATGGTGTAGTCACCCAAGACTTTCATAGAATCTCTACAGTGTGTAAACAGGCCATTTGGCCGGACAAGTCCAAACCAACTTTCCGAACAGCTTCCCACCCAGACTCACGCCTTCCCCACCCCTGTAATCCTGCATTTCCCATGGCTAATCCACCTAACGTATACATCCCTGTACACTATGGGCAATTTAGCATGGCTAATCCACCTAACTTGCACATCTTTGGACTTTGTATAAAAGACATGACTTCTAGACCATTGTATACTACTCCTTAAGATATGATGTCAACAGTTGATGAGTCTCTTTGATTATTTCACATTTTAACTATCTATCCACCTGGACCTCCAGTCTTTCAGCTTTTCACACCATTAAGAAAATATCCCACTGTATCCTTCACAGTTCCAAGGTGAATAAACTCAAATTTCCTATATAGTAATCCAGTGGCCTCAGATCTGCCCTTTTATTTATCATGATCAATATCATTTTCTAATTTTACAGGGGAGGTGAGGTGAGAGTGACAGACCTTGACATCAGCGCCACATTACAGCAAGTGTGGCTTAAAGAAGCTCTAGCAAAAGTTGATCAGTATGGGAAGGCAAATTCTCCACTGGTTGGAGTCATGCCTGGTATATAAAAAAGATCACTGCGGTTGTTGGAGGTCAGTCATCGCAGCTCCAGGACATCTCTGCAGGAGTTCCTCAGGATAGGCCTAAAAATCTTCAGCTGCTTCATCAATGACCCTCCATCATAAGGTCAGAAGTGAGGGTGTTTGCCGATAATTGCACAATGTTCAACACCATTTGCGCAACCTCAGGTACTGAAGCAGTCCATGTTCAAATGCAACAAGATCTGGACGATATCCAGGCTGACAAGTGGCAAGTAAAATTTGCACTGCACAAATGCCAGATAATGACCATCACCAAGAGGGGACAATCTAACCATCATGACTCGACATTCAATGCTGTTACCATCACTGAACTCACCAATATCTACATCCTGGGGGATTATCACTGACCAGAAACTCAACTGGAGTTGAACCACATAAACACATTGGCTGCAAGAGCAGATCAGAGGCTAGGAATACAGTGGCGAGTAATTCACCTTCTGACTCCCCAAAGCCTGGACACCATCTACAAGGAACAAGTCAGGTATGTGATGGAATGGCTGCAGCCCCAACAATACTCAACAAGCTTGACACCATCCAGGACAAAGCAGCTTGCTTGATTGGCACATCCACAAGCATCTACTCCCACCACCACTGACGCCCAGTAGCAGCAGTGTGCACTATTTACAAGATGCACTGCAGAAATTCACCACTGATCCTTAGATAGCACTTTCCAAACCCCCAAGCCTGCAAATTACAATAGCTGCCAATTATCCCTAATGTCTTTCCCTTACTACTCAGACATCTTCCATCCAGGTCAATAATTTGCACTCAATTCCATGGGTGTCAACTGCAGTTAAGTTTCCATCACCCTCATGCATCCAACACCTCTGTAGTAATCTTAAAACTGCAGGCGATCAGATACAGATTAACCAAATTTCAGCAAAATTACTTTCTCCAGTACTATTTCTTTATTAATACTAATGATTTTAAGTTCCTTTCAGCCTGTTGGTTCCTTACTATAAGTGGAATGTTTGTCTATCTTCTATCATGAAGTTATAAATAATTTCCTCTCCTGTCTACAAAAATCCAATGTTTACTTTCACTATTTTCCCCCGTTTTACATATCAAATCTTTTATATTTTAAACATTCCTCACTCTTTCCTTCTTGCTTCTCAGCTACTTTAAATTTTTTTCATGAGGATGTCACTAACATTTGTTGCCCATCCCTAACTGCCCTTAGGCTATTTCTGAGGGCAATTAAGAACTAATCACATTGCTATTGGTCTGTCTTTACATGCGAAGTCAGATATAGGGCAGATTGGGTAATGATAGCAGATTTCCTTGCCCAAAGGATATTAGGGAACCTGAAGGATCTTTTGTGCAATGATGGATGATAGTTGTCATGGTCACAATTACTGAGATTAGCTTTACTTTCCAGGTTTATGAACCATGTTCAAATTCTACTAGCTACCATCTTGGCATTTGAAGTATGTCTCCAGGGTATCTGCCTGGGTCTCTGGATTACAAGTCCAGTCACATTCCCACCATATCACCACCTTCTCATATGGTCATCCTATTTTTGAAATCATCTCATCCGCAAATCAATTTATTTTACGTTTTATGCTACTCCCTTTAATCTAGTACTATCTGACTATCTAGTACTATCTATGGAGAGAAAATCTTTCCAATGAGGTGTGCGCACGTGCGTGCGTGCATGCATGAGGGGGAGGGGGAGGGGCAGGGGCTTCACTGAAGGAATGTATATTTGTTTTAAATTTGAGTTAATTCTTTGAAATTTTGCCATCGCTCAATCAAATCTTCTATCTTACAATTATATTTTAGCCAATGTGCCTCAAAAACCAGTGGGAGAGACTGTAGAAAAACCTCCCTCCAAGTCTTTTGGCAAAGTAAGCAACATGTTGTATGGAGATTGAGTAAATAAGCCAAAGGCTGGATTAAGCCCAAGGAGGTGCTCCTATTGCTGCTGGGCTGAATTGCAAGTGCATAACAGTTACCTATATCCTTCTTTCCCATCTTCGACAGCCAACTGTCTGAACTCTTCATACATCTTCTTGTTGAAGTGATCTCTTAGGAAGAATGACCAGAATCGGAACAGTGTGTTCATTTCCTGAGACTGTCCTATTCCCAACCTCTTGCGCTCTGTCAATGAGAGAATAAGTCAGTGAGTAATAGATGCAGAATCAGCACAGCAATCACACAAGATCAGAAGTCTGGAAATTAACCACTTCTAGTGTCGGGTTGAGGTGAAGACAATTGAGGTGATATAACGTTCTAAACTGCAGGATGCTGAATGGGTTGACATTCAAATCACTAACCTTGCAAATGTCTTGTGTTCACCGTCATCTCTTGATGTACCAACTGTGGGGTTAATTTAAAATATGCACGTTCTGCACCAGTTTTCTTAGATTACTTAATCTTAAGAAGTGACATTACAGATCCAAGATAATGCAATGAACTGTTGCATTCTGTACAGAAATCTCTGCATTACCAAATCTCTGCAATTACACACATTTCGAAAATCTCAAATCATGAAGTGCTCAGATGGTGGAAAATAGATCACAATGTGAAAATGCAACAATGAGTAATTTTGTCATTCCATCTTGCAGAACATACTTGCATGGTTTTCCCTCCTCTTAAGGAGCACTATAGCTCTTCCTGAGACCCTGCTGGTTTCACCCAAGCTAGCAGAGGCATGTGAGAGACAGACTACCTAACTGTGACAGTTTCACAATCAAGTCCATTCCATCTGACATCCACCACAACAATCAAGTAGCTAGCAGGAGTTTTGTGACTACTTTCTTAACCACTCATGCCCCGATCTCAGAAAGTGTTGTATTATTCCACATCAGTCAGCAAGAACCAGTGCTCAAGATCAAGGATTTGGGGACTGGGTGGCAAGTGATATATTTCTACTTTGTCAAGGCCTTGAATATGGATGAGAAGGTTGTCAATAACTTACAACAATAAAGCACTTTCAAAGTCATAAAATGTGCCAAGGCACTTCACAGGAGCATTAAAAACAGAGGAAAAAGGAGCAGAAGGCTCACTTCACCATTCAACCAGATCATGGCCATTTCCCCTTACTATCCTCATATCCTTTGATATCTCTAGCATCCAAAAATCTATCAGTCTCAATCCTGACTGAGCCCCTCAGTGGTAGATTATTCCAATGATCCTCCTCATCTCAGTTCTAAGTGGCCCACCTCTTATTCTGAGGCATAATCTTAAAACAAACACTCAGCCACAATAGGAAATATTAGGTCTTATAACCAATGAGTTTCTTAAAAAAGGAAAGGGAGATAGAGAGGTGAAGGAAGTTTGAGAGGAATTCTAAAGCTTCAGACCTGAAATCCTGGAAGAATTTAAAATCAGGGGCACTCAAAAGGCATGAATTAAATAAGCACGGAAATCTTATCTAATATGGGGGTGGAAGTGAGAGTCTTAAAGCCAAAACATTGTTTGATCTATGGGCCAAAGTAGGGTCCACAGAACTTGAGTTAGGCCATGCAGAATAGTGTTTTCAATGATTTCAAGTCTAGAGAATAGAATATGTGAGATGAACTTGCAGTGTGTTGGCACTGCCAAATCTAGAGGCAACAAGAGCATGAATGAGGGTTTCAGCAGATGAACTGAGGCAAGACTGAAGCTACTATGGTGGAAATAGTCTCAGTAATGGTGTGAACATGTGGTCAGAAGCTCAATTTAGGGTCAAATAATAAACTAAGGTCTCAAAGTCTGGTCTAGTCTCAGGCAGTTGCCAGAGAGAAGGCAGCAGACAGTTGCAAGAAAACAGAATTTGGAGCAGGGACCACAAATGACAGCTTCAGTCCTCATAATATTTAACTGGAACAAACTGTCGATTTTGTTGAACAATCCTTGATGACAGAACTCCCATCACCTACCATTCAGGCATCTCCTGTGGAACTTGTGATAAACATGCTGTGTAAATCCATTTTCCTTCAGTAATTCATGCGAGGGATGTTGGAACTTGGGAAGAGACTGGGGAGTACAACCGTAGGTTCCAGCGACTGGGATTCCCTCTGATGGGCTGGCATTGGAGCTGCCACAAAAATACAAAAGTTACTATTGAACATCTTTTGGTATGGTAACAGAATCACTTACTCAAAACAAATCTTTAGATGTGCAAGTATGCATTGATGCTCAAATAATCACATATCCACATATATACTGATATATCAGCCAAGTGGCTGCTTTCCCGACCCCTCCTGTCTCTAAATTAACCAGTATTTGTCTGACATTCAGTACTGATGTTTGAAAGTTGATTGGGTGAGGAGTTCTCTTTCTTGGACACACAAGCTAACCTGAAGGAGGACGTTCTTGGTCGGTGCTCTCTTGAATCCATCACCCAGCCCACGTGGCTCTCAAGTGGAGGGTTTGAACTGTGTCTCGTTTTCCGCTTCCGAGGAGCCTGTAATAAACGAAAGTAACTCCCATCATAAATGCCTGCATGGTTAAGAAAGATATCTTACACTTTATAGACTATCAGACCGGTTACTCTCAAGATTTTAGTGCTACTTGGGCATCTGAAATTTTAGCAACAAAAGCAGAAATTCAGGAGAACTGGCAGCATCTGTGAAGAGAAAGCAGAGTTAAAGTTTCAGATCCAGTGACTCTTCTTCAGAACAGAATATAGCTAGGAATATGTCGGTATATGTGCTGAAGATGGGGCGGTGCGGGGAGTGGGGACGAGGGGGAGCATGGAGGAGGAGATAAACAATAGATGGAGCTGGACCCAAGACAGGAAGAACAGCAGCTGGGCAGACAAAGGTAATGGTCAGCTGGGGAGAATTAATAGCTGCTAATGGATTGGTTGTGGTAGCAGTCCTCTTCATAACAAGACCTGACATGTTGGGACTAGGGGAGAAGGACCTGGAATAAGTACTCAGACCCTAAAATTACTGAATCAAAATCAAGTCCTGAAGGCATTAGGATCCCCAAATGGAAAACGAGATGCCTTTTTTTCAGCTGGCGCAGAGTTTTGCTACAGCACTGCAGTGAGCCCAAGACAGAAATGCTGGTCAGGAAACATGGTGGTGTTGAAGTGGCAGGCAACCTGAAGCTCAGGGTTTGCAAAAATGTAAATCAGAGAATATATTTTTGATGAGGCAGTAACAATTACACTTCAAATATACTTACTTGGCAGTAAAGTGTTTTGAGATTCCCTGAGGTGGTGAAACATGCTTTATAAATTCAATTTCCTTTACCCCTCAATCATGCTTCTGCGATGCACCTCTGGAATAATTTGTGAATACATGGTGTAATTCTTCACCCCAATTAAAATCCTGGAGGATTCTTCCTGAAGTATCTCTACAGTCAACCTTTTATTGCATGATGAGCTGGCCAGAATCTAATATAATAGCTGCTGAACTGTGCTTTAATGTTCTAAATTTCAAACTTCAGAGCAACAAATTTCCTTAAGCGTGTGTTCCCTAAATTTATGCTCTAGAGTTCTTCTAAATCCAGAACTTTGTCAGAACCTTACCTTCGCATCCAGAGGCCTCCCTTCTTTCACAACAGGGTAAAATCTGGACATTTGACTTGGATCCTTTAACCTGGGTGTGCGGGGGGTGCGAGGGGTTCGTGCGCCCCGGTAGTTTGGTGATTCCGGAACAGTTGTTGGCAAAGATCGTGCCATGCAAGACACTGGTGGTTCAGCTGCACCAAAAAGTTTATTGGCCAATGCATCTGTAGGTACTGAACAAAGATGCAGGATTCAGGTTCTTGTATACACTTGGTAAAGAGCCCAATGGGTTTTTTATATATTTAAATATAAAATAAAGTTTACACTACATAAAATTGAATACCCTTCTCTGTATCCTACAATGAACTAAATAATTGTGCTGAAACAAGACAATCAAGATTTTTTGTTTTGCCACTTGTCAGCTACTTTTGAGGCGTTTTGACAGTCAGTATGGGGTAACTGCTTCCAGTGGCAGGAAGGCTAGAAACCAGAAAACATGGACTTAACATGGGGGGGAAAACAAAATCAGACAAAAGAAGAAAAGAATGCTTTTACAGTGAGTTGCTGTATTACAGGATAAAGATTCAACCATGAATTTCTATAATCTACAGTGAATAAATAATTAAACAATATTTACAGCAAATTTTGAAGAATAGGGGAGTGAGACTAACCGGGTAGTTCTATCAAAGAGCCTAAGCTAGTGCAACAGACTGAATGTGACAGGGGGTGATCAATGTATAACAGTGAGTTTACCTTTTCAGCACTAGAATGGTTTGTATTCAATGCACATTGTGGCTGTGGGCTCAAATGTGTGTGATGACTTCAACATTGTTCCTGACATACAGCCAGTTTTCTCACACTTCTGGCATTCCTCTCCCATCTCCATTAAACCTGACAGCAAGGCAGAAATGTGAACTCTGGAAACTAACATGAATAAGAAATTTTTACAGGCTCCAACCACACACGGATTGGTGGGTTGGCAGGGTTTATCAGACTCCATACCCAACATAACTACAGTGAACTACTGCGGCAGTTCAAATGGTTCACCGCTACCTTCTCAAGGGAAACTAAGCATGATAAATAAATGCTGGCTCAGCCAGCAACGCCTACATCACATGTATGGCTAAACGGCAAGAGGCCATTCAGCCTATCAGGGAAAGCACATCAGTCTCAACTTCCTACTCCTCCCCATACACATTAGATTCTCTTTTAAAATGAGATTCTGGAAGTTTTATTGTCATTTTCAAGATGCCAGCCTGTCTGTTGTTGCATCCAGTGTCATACCCTATCAAATGGACATTTGGATACAGCACCGGACTGACAAGATTCCTTTACCTTGCTGTGGTCTCGGTGGTCCAGGTGGGACTTCTTGGTTTGGATCAACAGGAGGTTCAGGGGTCAGAGTGTCAAACTCCTCTCTGCTGATCATATTTAGCTTCTTGAAATTTTCCACTTCTTGCTGCAATGTAAATAGACAGACTGAGACAGACCAGAACATACATATTCAAGAAAAAGGCTGGAACAAAATAGAACAAGACCAGCGTGAGATGGGCAGACTGAAAGAAACTGAGATAAAGATGCAGTAGAAACGCCAGGTGAGCGAATGAGACGGGACGTAGATCCAAAACGGACAGCACGCGTGGGCTGTGTGCGCGGGGGGGGGGCGCGGGTGGGAGGTGGTGGTGGTGGTCATCTGCGCGATGGGGACAGCAAGAGCGAGAGACACAGCAAGGAAGTCTATGGAAGGGGTAGAGAAATAGAAAGAGGGAAAGTATGCACAACAGAGAGGTTGAAGGGTCCATTTATATTGACCTTTAAAGGCTGAAAGAGAGCATCATTAAAGGCAATGGAGTACTTGGCTTTATTAGTAACAACGTTGAGTACAAAAGCAAAGAAGTTCTCCTAAAATCCATATAAAGCACTAGTCAGGCATCAACAAGAGCATTAAGTCCAAATCTGGTCACCAAACAGTAAAACAATGGAGAGGGTACAGAGCAGGTTTATGAAAATGGTGCCAAGTGCATAATACTAAGTGAAGAGACCGATGAAACTGGGCAATTATCCTCACAGCAAGAGGGTTGAAAGAAACTTAATGGACACGTTCACATTCAATAAGAACTACAGCATAGCAAATAAACAGCAAATATTTCCAGTGGTAGGACACTCAGTTAGCAGAGGACACTGATTTAAGGTAACTGTCAGAAGAATCAAATGCAGCAACATGAAGGAAGAAGTTTCATAAATTGTGATTTGGAAAACATACTTGAAGAGGAAAATTTTCCAGGGCCATGGAGAAAGAACATATTGTGAAAAACCACAATAGGCTGAATGGTTTCTTAGGGTAGGAAAGAAATGGACAGAGAAAGAAAGAGATCTATAAGAAACGTTCAACACTTTTACAAGTTTCAAATTTGATCTGCTCTTCTAATTCAACCTTTGGAACGCCAAACTTTGTTACACAGTTTAATCCTCTTCTGGTGGGACTTGAACCCAGGCCTCCTGGCCAGAGGTAAGGATACGACCTCTGCACCATAAGAGCCTGTCCTTTCCTGGTACGTACTTAATTCCAACTCTTATTTAAAGATCTCCTATTGTGAACTAACTGTTTTGTCAAAACAGTCCTTCCATTTACTCTGGCTGAAATTGATCTATAATGTTCTAATTTGCTAAACTCTCCTGGAGAAGTGCTGAATGATCTAGCTCTACAAATGCAATTTATATAGTTTGGCAAAGAAGTTGATGCATATCCAGCACAGATACAACCACTAAACAATTATATTATCCCATAACAGTTTGCACTGATAGGTGAGCACCACCATTCATTCTCCCATCCCCCCCACCCCAATGTTTGAATGATCTTTCCCTTTCTCAGACAATCTTCAACATTTTTCAAACCTCAATGACCACACATTAATCACAGATAGTAAGCTTTTCCACGGATTCTATGGCCTCCATTTCCTTTCCAAAAACCAGTCTGTAGCAAGTGACAGCACAGTGAGGTGGAGGAAACAAGACCTTACAATGTCAAATCAGCCAGTTGCGCTGGGCAATGAGTACAAATGTCACCAGTTACACCAGACCATAGGATTGCTCTCATTAGATTTTACTAACATGAGGGTCACCATGTCTCAGATGACAGGCAAGGCCAAGAAACAGTGTCCTTCATGGTAACCTCAGTCGGTGTGAGGAATTGAACCCGCAATGCAAACTAGCCATCCAGGCAACTCACCCCAATCCAATTTTCTGATACCTGCTTTTCCACACCCAACTGTGTATTTTAAAAGAGGGAAACAAATCTTAGTCTCAGTGGCTGTAAATCCATCAATAATGGCCATTCCAAGCAGCCTAAATGGAGTCTGTTTGTTTATAAGCTGGTGCTGGTTCAGTCAATTTGAGTGAATGTTACATGAATACAAAACAGAAACAGATAGAATGCAATGGTAAGCAAACACAAACCAACGATTACCAGCTGAGGCTCATGCCCACCACAAACAATTCTGTGATTGTGATCTCTGGAACATTCAGATATTTCATGAAGTTGTTTTTGGCATAATTGTGTTAAAATTGGGAAACCACTAGCTCTCACTGGGCCAGAAGGTCCAGGTTCAAATTCTACAATGCTCCAGGGTGTACAATGACATCTCTATACAGGCTAATTAGAAAATAACTAGAATCCATCCCACTTTCACCTCTGTTCAAACTCAGTGCAAATGAATATGGAGTATGTTCTATAACTACTGTCTGATCCACTCCGCCTGTTTAACCAGTTTTTTTGTGTACTCATCCTGTGATGCAGCAGTAATGCTTCCACCTATGGGCTTGAAGGCCTGGGTTCAAATCCCACATGTCCTGCAGATGTATCATAAAATGTCCTAACAGAGTGATTAAAAGAGCTTATTTTTTCAGAACAGCTTAAGATTTTTGTAGTTGATTGGAGATGTACTATAGACTGTAACAACTACCTGGCTGCAAACTCGACTGTAATTGACAAACTGACAAGCCCAGCCTGCAACTGGCAGACCTGGGTTGGGGGCGTTAAGGAATTCAGCTGTATCTACTGAACAGGCCGAAAATCACTAAAGACAGGAAAGCTTCTTCAATAAAACAGATTGAAGTGATGATTGAAGCCCTGAAAAAGTTCTGTGACAGGAGTTCCAAATGGCATCCCTGTTCAACTGCGCCTGTTAATCTGGTTAAAATCCAGAGACCTACCTTTATGGTTGCATATTCTGGTTCATAATCCTCTTTCCATAGGTCCTGCTCGTAGTAGTAAAGGCCGTCATTAATGACCTTACCAAACTCAGATGTCAGTTTTGCCCTGGAGATGTGATTCCCTGTCCTGTCCCCACCGGGATGTTTCCTCAAATATGGAGGCGTCTGTGCCACAATTAGAATCTTGTTCACATCACGATCGTCAATTTCACAATCAGAATCCTCATCCGACCAATCAGTGAACGTGTTCTTGCGCCCAACCATCTGCTCCATCTCCTCATCAAACATGAAGTCCAGCTCCTCTTGTTCCTCTTGGTCTGGCTTCAAAGATGTTTGGGTTTTGGGTTCTTCAGATTTCTGAAATAGAGAATCACCACAATTCGATCAGTGCTGTATTTTAAAAATCTCCAAGGGTAATAATGAATTCTGCATCAACAGAATTAAGTTAACCATTATTAAAAGGCTGAAAAATTTCAAGACCAAAATAAAAGCAACAATTTCATACTTCTGAATTTGGTACATCAGCAGGTGCATAACCAGTCCAAACCTGGTCAGAATCCAAGCCTTCAGCCTCTGGTGCACTGCACAACAACTGACACCTTCAGGTATATTATAGTTGAACCTATAACCCCATCTATATACTGCACCAAAACTGACAACTGCATTTCAATCTATACTCTCTCACTCCGGGGCGTGAGTCTTTGGAACACCCCCAGTACAGTAGGCACAAAGTAACTGAGCATTTTTAAGATACAGGCACATTACTGACTACAAGGGTGTCAGGGTTTTAAAGTGGTAATGTAGTGTTGAAACCACTATCAATTCAGTCACAATCATACTGAATAGCCAGATGGCCTAATCTTGCCTCTACTTCATTTCTATCATATTTGCCATCCTCCTCTCACAGCTCAATCAATATTCTCATATCAAGCACTGGCCTAGGTGTGCCTTTTATATCACATCTGAACCTCTATTCCCACATAAAACTTACCAAAAGGAAAGCCCCAGAGCCCATAATGTTAGATCACTACAAATATCTGATTTACATGGAAGCAGAAACTGTTTCACACCAAGAAAAGTGTGTTAAAATGTGCAAGTTTTGAAACTGGTCTCACCTTAACCCCTCCGTGCAGTTGCGGCAGTGAGGTATTGAAGTGGAAATTGCAAAGTGGAATATGTTAAAGCTAGTCATTGAGGAGCAAATCATATTCTTCTAATACATTAATCATTTTAATTATCAATTTTTTTAAACCCTGGAGTAGATAATAGATGAACAGTACTACTTAGACCATCAATTTGCTATTTCTGACAAAAAAAGCCATTTTAGATGCCAAGATCCATTTCCTTCTCTTAACATAAACTGGAACCTACAGAAGTCACACCCAAATCAAAAACTCCATTTGATACTCAACAACCAGGAATTCTATTAACATTTACATTCTCGTTACCATGCAGAACAGAGTGCACAAATATTGAGATCAGAGAATGAAAAGTAATAACAGTAATGTGAGATCTTATTTTATGCAATATGCTGGGAGAAGAATAGTTCAAGTACCAAAAGGCAAAGTTTATTGAATATACTCCTAAGACAATATGTTAGTGAATCAAGGGCCACACCTTAATACATTTTAGAATAAGTAATTCATGAATAATTGACAAAAGACTCAGGTCTAGACAAGAAAAGTAGATTTAAGGCTACAATCAGATAAACCACGATTTTACTGAAGAACGGAGCTCCTTTCATATTATGAATGGCCTGCTCCTAATTCATAAATTTGCAAGTAATGAGCCTGAGTTAAATGCTAAAGGAATGCTTAGCTAACAGTGGCCAGGGCATAACTGAATTGAATATTAAATTGAACAGGAAGAGGGAGTCACAAGCTAAACTTAGCTTGAGGGCTATACACATGACAGAAACTGCCCACAGTAAACTAGAAAATCTATTCATTTATGAACCTACAAACAAACAGTGGAGCTTTCTCCCCTAAAAGCCCAAGGGTCAACTGAAAATGTAAAAGCAGAATGACAGATTTTTGTCACACAAGCGAATTCAGTGACAGACAACCATCATCGGCAAGGCCAACACTGTCAATCCAAAACTACCCTCAAGACAGTGCTGATGAATCACCTCTTTCAACTACCACAATAACTATGGTAAAAGTACCCATAGTGTTCTAAGTTAGGGAGTTTCAGGATTTTTAATTAATGCCACTGGAAGGGCAGTGCAGTATTTTCAAGTCAGCACTGTTTGTTTTGAAAGGTTGTTGAATACCTCCTGTTGTCTTTCAAACTGGGAGAGATTGTGGGTTGGGAAGTGTTGCTGCAGACTTAGCAAATTACATCTTGTAGAAAGCACACACTCCAGTTAGCATGCCAGTGAGGAGGGGTGAATGTCTTAGATGGTCAATGGCATACCAACAGAAGTGAGCTTCTTTGACCAGAAAGGCATCAAGGTTCTTAAGTACTGTTGGTGCTGCATCTAGGCACATGATCCAACACATGCTAGACACTTCCTTGAAGTTGGTGGTTAGGCTTTAGGAAGTTGGGAGGTGAATCAATCATTACAGAATACTCAGCTTTTGAAGTCGGTATTATAGAATATCTAAACTACGATCGGCTCTTTTTGTCACAGTTGTTACATGGTATCGCCAATTAAGTTTCTTGTCAATAGTCACTCACAGGATGTTGTTAATAAGGAATTCAATGATGGAAATGCAAATGAACACCAAGGAAAGCAGTTTCACTCTCTTATTGGAAATGGTCATTGTCTGGCACTTACAAAACGCAAAGTGTAACAGGCTTGGATACTATCTACTCCTTACTGCATGAAAGCAGAGACAGCTCCATTATTTGAAGTATTGTGAATGGAAGAGAACACTGTCTGATTATCCATGATCCCTGATCTGATTGAAGACGACAGAATCATTGATCTGATGATGATAGTCAGACATAGGATACCACCTTGAGAAAGGCATGCAGTAATTCCTGGGCGGAGATGAATGGCCTCCAAAAATCATCCATGTACCTTCATGTTGTTTATTATTCAAGCCAATGGACAGATATCCCTTTGCCTATTCAGGTCAATTTCCCAAGGACTCACTGATGTCACAGTGTTCATATGCTGTCTTTACACCAAGGTTAACAATTCTCACCTCACCCTTTGAGTTTAGCTGTGCTTGAACTATGGATGTTATGAGCTCTGGAGTTACTAACTGAAGAATGCAAGCCTGGCAGCTCGGTGGCTCAGTGGTTAGCAATGTTGTCTCAAAAGGGCTAGGAACCTGATTTCAATTCCATCTTTGGGTGACTGTATGTGTGAAGTTTGCACATTCTTTCCCGTGTCTGAGTGGCATCTCACTCACAGTCCAAAGATCTGCATGTCAGGTGGATTGGCCATGATAAATTGCCCTGTGGTGTCCAGGGTTGTGCAGAAAAGATGGGTTATCTATGATAAATGCACGGTTATGGGGGTGGGGTGGGATGCTCTTCAGAGGGTCAGAGCAGACTCGATGGACTCAATGGCCTCTATTTGCACTGTAGGTGTTCTATAATTCTATGAATCCATTTGCAACTGACCCAAACCCGAGATGAAGAAACACCCCAATGAGACCTTTGGGAACCAAAGGCCCAACTTCATCCTTTCTGCAAAAGCATGCAACTCACTGTTGTCTCAAATTACACAAATATGCTATTCCAAAATGTTACGTCAAAAGAATGTATCATCTCAAAGGAATGCGTGAATTATAACTGATTCTCACCGGCTCCCCAGTGAGTCTGTTCCATAGTTGGACCACTCGCTCACTGAAATGTTATTTCCATACATTAGATGTAAATTAATTGCCCTTGAAATAGGAACAGGGCCCTTTGCTTCTATTGCAACGTCAAATCAACCTATCTACACATTGTACTTAAAATTAGGATTCAGTCACATTTCACACAACTATGGGTTTTGATTTCATTAAACTTCCAAATGGTTGGTGGATTTGAAATGTCTCTGGAAATGGTTAAAACTGCCTAACCCCACATCACTTTAGGGCTTGATTCATCAGGATACAATTTTGACAATTGTTCTTTTTAACCACTGCTGAAAAATGTAGGATGTTATGTCTATTTGACTAAATTCTGTTAATACATTATGACATGAGATAGCTGTAGTAGTTTTGAGATAAGGAAATGGGCAATAGGGCAAAGATCAAGTTTACCATCAAGCATGGAACCAGAGGGAACTACCATCTGTGGGCTTTGAACACCTTTCGTTTCTGGGGTCTTTCCTACAGCAACACTTGACATGCTAAATGAACCATCTAGAGTAGTGCGAGTAATGGCCAATAATAAACATTAGCTTCCCTTCACAATTTGCAGTCAGAACCATTAAAAAATACAGTACTATTTAGGTGGAAAATGGGTGATGTTATTTATTGTCCTGTATGTTTATTGTTCAGATGTACTGTGTGCAAAGGTTTGGACAAACACAGCAAGATGATCAAACAGCAAACCATATGTGGTGTCGGTTTTGAATTCTTAAAAATGATAAAAATGTCTCTAGAACTAAGAAATAGGAGGACAGGTTACATATCCCATCAAGCCTGCTCTGCCATTCAATAAGATAATCTTTTTGTTGAAATCCTATTCATTTAGAATTCAAAAATTAGTAATCAAAGCAATCATTAAACCCTCCTCGTCTTCAGGGACAGCATGCCAAATTTATATCACTATGCTCCAAACTCTCCATCAAAGGAGAGGGAAATGATAACAGGGCCTTGAGAGGGGCGAATTTGATTCATGGCGTGACAGGACCTTCAATGTAAGATAGAAGAAGGGGGCAGGGTGACAGTCATAAGGCCCTCTTGTTTCAAAAAAAAAAATCATTCACAAGATTGAACTAGAAAGTGTAGCATTCCAAAATTCCTTTAAAAGATTGTGGTGAGTCTCGAGTTGCTATGACAACTCCTCGGTACAAACAGGGTACAAAATACCCTGGTAAAGTAGAAGGACTCAAGACTAACCTTTGGTTTTGCAGGAGCTGGCCGATGTCTTTTTTTCACTTCAATCCACGTGTCAGAATCCAGATCAGGAAGGCTGGTGGAAAGTCCTTTCGGCAAAGTCTTCAAATTACTGGGTTCCTCAGTCTTGGAGCTTGCAGCACTGCCTGCCCGGGGTGAACCTGGAGCCGACTCTAACAGAGAAAGAGCAGATCAGAGAGACAAAGTAATAAAGTTATACAGCACAGAAACAGACCTTTTGGTCCAACTCATCCCCACCGACCAGATATCCCAAACTGATCTAGTCCCATTTGCCAGCTTTTGCCTAATATCCCCCTAAACTCTTCCTATTCATGCTCCCAGTCAGATGTTTTTTAAAATGTTGTAAATTGTACCTGCCTCCACCACTTCCTCTGGCAGGTTGTTCCAAACACACACCACCCTGTGCATGAAATGGTTGCCCCTCAGGTTCCTTTTAAGTCTTTTCCCTCTTACCTTACACCTATGCCCTCTACTAGTTTTAGTTTCACCTACACTGGGAAAAAGACCTTGGCTTTTGCTCTATCCATGCCCCTCATAATTTCATAAACCTCTATAAGATCACCCCTCAGCCTCCAATGCTCCAGGTTATACTCTGCTACACGCAAAACCACGTTTTCTGAAAAACATGCCAACCCAGACCATCAACCCCAGTGTCCACAGCGCCAAACATTACACGCATCAACTGACAACACTTTAGCCAGGAAAATAGGGAGGTCATAAAAGTAGAAGCAGGAGGACTCCGTTCCTGACCTAATAACAGCTTGAGAATGACACCCTTGACTTTAAGGCGATATCTGATGATCAAGACAATCTTTCAAAACTAGAGACAATGGAAATCAGGGGAAATACTTTTCTGCTTGGTGCAGTCACATGTCGAGAAAGATGGTTGTGGCTGCTGGAGGTCAATAAACTAAGTCATAGGACACTGTTGCAGGAACTTCTCAGCTACTGGCTTAGGCCAACCATCTTCAACTGCTTCAATGACCTTTCTTCAGTCGCATGGTCAATGCTATCAAGCAGCACCTGCTCAGCAATAAGCTACTCGGTGACAACCAGTTTGAGCTCTGCTATGGCCACTCAGCTCCTGACCTCATTGCCTTGGTTCAAACGTGGACAAAAAAGCTAAATTCCAGAGGTGAGGAGAGGGATAGCCCTTGACATCAAGGCTGCATTCGACCGAGTGTGACATCAAGGAGCCCTAGCAGAATTGAAATCAATAGGTATCGAGGCAAACTTCCACTGGTTGCAGTCACACCTGGCACATAGGAAGATGTCATGGTTTTTGGAGGTCAAACATCTCACTGCAGGACATCTCTGCAGGAGTTCTGCAGAGTAGTGTCCTAGCTAGGCACAGCCATCTTCAGCTGCATCATCAATGACCTTCCCTCCATCATAAGATCAGAAGTAGGGATGTTTGCCCATGATTGCACAATGTTCAGCACCATTCATGACTCCTCAGATACTGAAGCAGTCCATGTTCACATGCCACAAGATCTAGACAATATCCAGCTTGGGCTGACAAGTGGCAAGTAACAATCGTGCCACACAAATGCCAGACTATGACCATCACCAATAAAAGACAATCCAACCATCACCCCTTGACATTCAATTGTGTTACCATTACTGAATCACCTGCTATCAACATCCACTCCGTCCATCGCCGGCACTCAGTAGCAGCAGTGTATACCATCTACAGGATGCACTGCAGAAATTCACCAAAGACCCTCAGACAGCATCTTTCAAACCCACGACCATTTCCATCTAAAAGGACAAGGCCAGCAGATATATGGGAACATCGCCGCCTTCAAGTTCCTCTCCAAGCCACTTACCATCCTGGCTTGGAACTATATCACCGTTCCTCCACTGTCACTGGGTCAAAATCCTGGAATCTCTTCCTAATGGCAGATGGACTGCAGTGGCTCAAGAAGACAGCTCACTATCACCTTCTCAAGGGGAACTAGAGATGGGCAATAAAATGCTGGCCAGCTAGCGATGCTGGGGATATTTGCTGATGATTGTACAATGCTCAGTACCTTTCCAAATTTATCAGCTACTCAAGTAGTCCATGTGTATAAGGAGGGAGACCAGGACAATATCCAGACTTGCTCTGTTGGGCAGTAAATAAAATCATGCCAGACAAGTTCCAGGCAATGGCCATCTTCAACAAGATAATATACTCATCTCCCCTTGACACCCTGAATCGCTCACCAACATCCTGGGGTTACTATTGACCAGAAGGTGAACTGAACCAGGCACGATGGCTATAAGGCTCAGGCTGCTGTGGCGAGTAATCGACATCTCTCTCCCCAAAGCCCACCCACAACTTAAATGACCATGATGGAACACAACATTTATGTAATTCTTACATGGGATATTGGCATTGCTGGCTGGACCTCGTTAATTCTCCTTGCACTGAGTGGCATACTAAACCATTACAGATGGCATTTTAAAGCCACCCACATTGCTCTGGGTCTGGAGTCACATGTAGGCCAGACCACATAAGGATAGCAGATTTGCTTCGCTATTGATCCAAGTGAAATTTTATGACAATCAACAACGGGAAATATGGTTTCATTGAATTAGCTTTTAATTCCAGATTTTATTGAATGCAAATTTCACCATCTGCCATCATGGGATTCCAAACCGCATTCTCAAAACATTTGCCTGGGCCTCTAGATTACTATTTCAATGACATTAGCACTCTGCCACTGCCTCCCTTAAGGGGACAGCTGCATCTACCCACTTGCTCAGAGAAAAGCTACTCTGACACTCAACACTCAAACTTTGACACCATCCAAGACAAAGCAGCTTGCATGACAGGCACTCTACCCACTCTTCAACATTCAGATCCTTCACAACTGACACACATATAATTCATTTAGGACATACACTGCAGTGATTCCTCATGACCTCTGCAACAACACCTACAGAACCTATGAGCTGCACCACCCAGAAGGACAAGGATCTATTTAATTGAATCATATTATCAATTTGTACATTTTTCTGAGTACCACAAGCTGCAAGCTCTCCTTCAAGCCACTCATTCACTTGGAACACTTCAACGTTGCTGGGCAAAATCTTGGAACTGCCCTCCTAACAGTACTCTGGGTGTGTCTACATTCCACGGACTACAAAAGTCAACATCAAATTCTCAAGGACAATTACAGATGGACAATAAATGCTGGCCTTGCCAATAATGCCCACAACACATGAACTGGTAAGGAACACACCCACTGACAACTCACCCAGTACTACTTCTGCCCCACTGATAATGATCCAGTGTTACATTTGTGTCATTGATCACCTAATAATGTGTTGCTTCTTCCCTACTGACCACACACCCAGCATTAACGCTTGCTCCAAAGATCATCACCCAGCAGTACACTCATCCTACTGATCACCCATCCAGAGTTACACCAATCCCACCATCTAAAGTAACACTCACCACAGTGACCAGTGTTCACTTCACTGGTCAACGACCCACCACAGTCCTTGCCCCATTGACCACTCACCTAGTAATTAGACTCACCAGTCTGCTTTTTGTAAGTCTGCCCAGGAATGAATTCTGGGCAATTAAGTAAACGTGTGAAGTCTGTCTCTGGGAGCGGCCATTTCTCAGGGTTTTCTTTTTTTCGGATCTTCTTGTCAACCACTTCCACCTCAGTGCTGTCTTTCAAAGCCTGGTGAATGCAACAAACCCTGATTTAGAAATACAAATCTGACTGGGAATTTGAAACTGCACTAAATACACTTCAGAAATTTGCTGACCAGACAGCACACACATATAAAATTATCATCTATCTAATGCTCTAGTCACATTCTCCATATAAATTCTTTATATCAATCTCCTGTTTCCCAGCCACCTCTGGTTAAATTTTAAAACGGTCTGTTCGATCTTTAGTGGTTTCCAACTTTTGTGCAACAGCCAGTTATTGTTACAATTCTGAAAGAGTGCTTGCTATTATCTTGTGGCTAGTAGCAATGTTTTTTCCAGTCCCGCTGACTATATTTTAAAGTGTCTACAACCCCCTTTTCATTTCCTGAGGAAAGAAGCTGGGATATCTTTTCCTCAAACAACAATAACTCACTCTGAAACTATGACAGGAACAGAGGTAAAATTTATTCTTATGAAATAAAGAAGAGAAATCTCAGATATTTAATAACAAATCTTGCACATCGGGAGCTACATGGAGAGCTGGTGAACATCACAACAGACCTCCAAGATGAGATTGACATCAGTGGTCAATGCTTGGACTCGGTGAAAACCTCCAATTAATGAGACTGGCAAGAAACCATCAGCATCCATCTTTCTTCTCAAGAAAAAGTCTCTTTCCAAGTTATCCAGGCTAAAGTAGTATTCACTGAAACAAAATAGATGAATACGTATCATATTTATATAGTCAGCCAACACAAATCAGCACACATTATCCCAGACAATCCACAAAGTACACATTCAAATTGAGAGACAGGTTGCACTGTGGATGAGAGACAGAAAGAGACAAAGAAAGTGGTAAACATGAAGAAGGAACGGGGAGAAGAGTGGGAAGGAGGGAGACTGCCTTCATATTATTATCCCACTAAGACAAGTCCTATACTACTGTACCACAGAAAACCTAGTGGGGTCCAGTGCTTAACTGGAAAGAAAAGTTGAATTGACAAAAATAGCAGAAGCGTGAAAGTTAGTTGGATGAGAGTAAATATCAGACCCAACTGATAAATATGGGTAATGCCAACAGTCAGAGAACAGGTAAATCACAGAATGCAAGCTTAAAATGACTGTTAAGTAGGAGACAGTACAAGTATTGGTGCAAAGAAAGGAATCACGTCAAATGACTGGCAGACTCTGCTATTCAAAAATAAAGAGGAAATCGTGGGCAGTGCAGTTAGCATAATACCAAAGTGGGAAAGAAAATGGAATTAACACCCAAAGCTCCCATAGGAAAACATACAGAAACCAAAATCATAATATTTGGAAAAGATTTTAAAATGAGACATCAAGCTCAATCAATCTTACTGACTTTTTAAAGAGATAACAGGCAAACATAATGTAGTAGACGTAACACATTTGAAATTGCCAGAGACCTTTGACTAAAGTATTGTACAATAGGCAGAATGTATCTCAATTTGGCAACAAAACAGCACAAACACAGACTGTTACACAGTACTCAGTTATTCACTCAGCTTGGCAAAACAGGAGAGAACCGAGTTCCATTGGGACTGGCTCTAAGATGTGTTTTTGGAATCAGAAGTACGATTTCAAAATTTGCAGACAGCACTAATTGACAGGCATTGTCACATAAAGGAGAACTGCAAAAACAAAACAGGTACACAATAATACACATGCAGAATGAGCATGTAGTTGGAATTGAGGGATCTGGGGTTCAGATACATCAGCTACAAAGCAGTAAAAACAAATTAAGGCAGCAGTTAAAAATATTGAAATGGGATTCACTTCAAATGGGAAAGAACAGAAAGAGAGAGAAGTTGTCACCTTGTACAGAACTTTAGTTTGACCATACTTGACAGTATCATGACAAGTTTTAGTCCCCATATCTAAGAGTCATAGAGGTATTACAGAAAAGATTCACAAAGATGTGACAATAACTGAGAAGATATACTGATGATGGCCACTTAATTTGACAAAATAGTTTGAAGATTGATCCAAAAAAAGGGTGATTATATAATTGAGACTGAGAGGATAAACAGAAAAAAAAATGAGGGACAATCCAAAACTAGAAGTCATAAATATAGGATAGTCACTAATAAACATAATGTGAAATTCAGTGAAACTTCTGTGCATGTGGAATTTGTGTCAGGAAATTATCAAAGGATTTCAGTACAGCATACAATGTGGTATAACAAGGCAAGTGTGGCAGTGAGCTGAACTTAGTAGACCAAGTAACCAGGTCAGAGGTGGAACATTGATACTGCTGAGGCACAGCATGTGCTTATAAAAGCAATTCCAAAGCCAAGGAATGCTACAGGAAAAGGGTCAGCGTCCAAACGTGAAGTTGATTGTCACTCTATTTCCTGATGCAAACGGAACGAACAAAAAAGCTTACGGGTTCCAACGTCACCACTTTGGGTCCAAATGTTCACTTTTACATTTGCTAACAGCGTCATTCAGAGCAGTGATCAAATTCCTAGCCAAATATCAGAGCTACACACACTGCACAAATTCCACGATGTGTTGTAGCATTTTGCATTACATCTCAAAGTATCAGGTTTAAAAATCAGAACCAGCTATAATAAAGCAGCTTGCTCGAGACAGGCTGAATTTGAAAACCTTCTGAAAAGACTTTTTAGGCTATAAATAGAAACCACATCAGCAAAGAGCAGGAACTCAGCTGGCAGTGAATCATTATTATTTGTCCTGTTACTGGGCCAGTAGCTTCAGCTCAGAATTAAAGAATTTCAATACACCAGAAAATCTGCAAATAAAATGCTCTGGCTATCAGTAAAAATGACCATGAAGGTGTCGTACTGTCACTCAACTGGTTTGCTAATGCCTTCCAGGAAAATGTATTCATTATCCTTAGCAGATGTGACCTATATGCAATTTCAGTACGAGACCAATGTGCATGACTCTTAACTGTCTACTGTAATCACCCACCATGACATAGTTTGCATTAAACTCATCACTTGCAATTCAAAAAGGTGGCCCACCACCATTTTCTCAGGCCAGGACAATAAAAGCTAGTTTTGCCAGTAAGGCACTTTGTTTAAACAGCTCCTCGAGAGCTACTTCTGATTTTCAGGATCTACATGTTTGGTCTTTCGGGGCTACTTTACATTCTTATCAACTTTTTTTTAGATGATTCAGTCATGTAGCGACATTACTTTGTTTGTCTATTGACATACAGGGCATTTGGACTCAAGCAAAATGAGAATAATTCATCAATATACTCAATAGAAAGGGTTCAGAAAAGATTTACAAGGATGTTGCCAGGCTTGGAGCATTTGAGCTATAGGGACAGGTTGAATAGTCTGCAACTATATTTCCTGGAGCATCAGAGGCTAAGGGGTGACCTTATAGAAGTTTATAAAATCATGAAGGACATGGATAGGGTGAACAGCCAAGGTCTTCACCCCAGGGTAGGGGAGATCAAAACGAAAGGGCATAGGTTTAATGTGGCAGGGAAACATTTAAAAGGGACGTAAGGGGCAACTCTTTCATGCAGAGGGTGGTGCATATTTGAAATGAGCTGCCAGAGGAAGTGGAGGAGGCTGGTACAATTACAACATTTAAAGGACATCTAGATGGGTACTTGAATTGGAAGGATTTAGAGGGATATGGGCTAAATGCTGGTAAATGGGATGATTAATTTAGCATATCAGGTCAGCATGGATAAGTTGGACCAAAGGGTCTGTTCCAGCTGTACCACTATGACTTATCAATCATTTATTAAAACTGCAGCCACAATACATAAGGAAACAGACACCACTATAGTTAGATTAGAGCAAGACAAGTGTCACAAGGTGACAAAAGTTATTTTAAAAGAAACTGACATGTTTTTGCGAAAAGCCTTCACCATAAAAATACCTTCCAGATCAGTGAGGTTACAGCTAATGTGTTTCCACTGCATACTTACAAAGCCGGAATATTTGAACCAGGCACTTACTAGCCATTTTACTACATTTCAGATCTCAATCTCAGATTTAAAACTGAACAACTGACAATGTTAGCTCCTCAACATATGCAGTATTAGCTCAGCAGGTCTGGCAGCTTCTGTGAAGAAAATATCAGAGTTCACGTTTCAGGTCTGGTGACCCTTCCTCAGGACATCCTCAGTTCGGAGGAAGGGTCACCAGACCAGAAACGTTAACTCTGATTTTCTCTTCACAGATGTTGCCACACCTGAGCTTTTCCAGCAATTTCTGTTTTTGTTGCTGATTTACAGCCTCCGCAGTTCTTTCGGTTTTTATATGCAGCATTAGGTTTAGAGATTTCACACTTTTGCAAGTTATTAGTTAGCTGAGTGTTCCTTGCTGATAGGGTTAAAACTATTCCTTTTCCTCCTACTGCAGCCTCCCTCTCTCCCACATACCTTGTGTTCTGCCTCTCTTCCTACCCCTCCCCTCTGTCCAACACCCCAACTCACCTCCATCTAATGGCTTCCTCTCTCCCCCGGCTTCTTCTCACTCCTATCCCTTCCTATCTTTCTCCATTCAAATAACAAGCAGGGGCAAGAACCAGTCTGTGTTGGAACAGCTTCTCACTATTTTCTGTATAGATGCATTTTTTCTAACTGGTCACCACCACGGGTGAACTTTCTCACATGATTTGGAGATTTCAGAAACAGGTTCATCCACATTCCCAAAGATTTTTGAGCATGGTTGCCTAGTAGTATTGATAGACAATGTATATGCTTAACTGAACATTTATCAGAGTTTCTACCATACAATCAGCTGGGTGGAACATACCTAGCAAGTAGAAAAACGTGGTACTTACATCTGTTTCTTGATGTAGTCTTTAAGCAACTTTTTATCCATTGTGTACAGCTCCGCACTGCTCTGATTGTCATAGTAATAGATGATATCACTGCCAAATTTTGGCCTGTACAATCCATCATTACTGTCGGTGTTTGCAGTGTAGGTGTAATGGTAGTCAAAGTGAGCTGCAACAAGCAAAAACAACTCTAGTTAGACATTCAATTAAAATTCTACTGCTGATCACGGTGTTTCATGTTTAAGAAGCAAATGGAAGATCTGAGATGTGGGAAGGCACTACATTTATGCAAGTCTGCCAAAATTTTCTCATCAGACTTGAAACAGTAGTGAGAGCAAGGATGTCATGAAATATTCGATAGCATCAAATCTTTTTTTTTTAATCAGAGGTAATATATGCTAGTTTCAGAAGAATGTGCTGTTTGGGCCTCTGCTCAGTCTCATAATTTCTATCCAAGATTATCCAGATCAAACCATATTCATCTGTTCCACAACCTACTCAAATCACCCGAAGCATTAACTTTAGTACTGTTAAAATTGTCAATCTTAGATCAATTATTACTCGAGTCAACAGCACTGCTTGTGACACAGTGCAATGCAAATCACAAGATCCGCTGGCATAATTCCTGGCCTGCACTCTGATGATCTGAAAGTGCAGATTTTCAGAATCAAGCTGAATCATGCCATCTTTATGGACAACAGGGAAAATGAGCAATTCTCCTGTTGCTGCAACATCAGTCTGATTTTGTGGTTACACATGCCTCTTAACTCAGAAGATCAAAGATTCCAGCTCCAATCCAGGAATTATCCAGGCCAACACATTTGTACAGCAGCAAGGGAATAAGTGGTTGGTAGTAAGGCTTTGCAGTAGTGACAAGATCGCACTTCAGATGTTGAATCATAGCCTTGCTTTTCTGTTTTGATAATTTAGGTGAATATTAAAGATAACATGACAAATTTTGAACCGGAGAAGGAACTCTGAGTTGTTCAGAGTTCAGCAAGACAATATGCGAATTGACAAATGCTCTGTTAAACCCTACTACTGGAATCCAAGAACTTGCATATAAACTGGAGTACTTCATTAGCAGAATCAACAAAGGTAAAGCAAGACCAAATAATCTCCCAGAAATATATGAGCATTCTTACTTGGAATACATGGATAAGAAATAATTGTAAAGCTAACTCGCTGCCTATCCTGCTCCAGCATGAAATCTCTGCCTCTATGTTAAAGGCAATCATTCCCCATCCATTGCACAATATTCTGCAATCCCAACCCAAACTTCTCCCACAACTACTGTAAAGTCCATTCGGAAACTTCCCTGGGAAGGAAGGGGATTCAGTGTTACTTACCAACCATCAAACCCACCTAATTTTAAACATCACACTACAGCAGTAACAGCTGCTGACAGACACCAGCACTGTGGTGTGCTTACTAAGTTAAGCGGGAAAACAAACGTGCCTCCCCACCTCAACAAATATAATCGAAGGCTCAGGGAGTGCAACTAAATTTCAACTGAGGGAGCCATCACGCCTATTCAGAAACATTGCAGCACAATGGTCAATGTCAGCATTTTACGTACAGCGAGAAGCACCTCTGCCACGACCCCTCCCCCGGCCGCGTCCACGACCTCGTCCCCTGAAGCCCCCGCGGATTGTTCCACCCTCGCTTTTCACACTGGAAATCTCATCGCGGTCTTCCCTCCAATCTCGTGAGTCATGCTTCTCATCACGATGGTAGCCTGAAGAAACAGAAAACCAGAGACAAGTGATCCATTACACACTTAATCCTCAACATCAGCCAACCATCCCTCACCTATATCTGCAAATCAAATTTCATCCCGAGTACCCGTGAATCCTGTCATAAATCAATAACCAGTCTATCTTCCCCAATGTCTCTTAACCAAAGACTAACCTTTCTACAGTACAACTGGTGCATCTAGGTTACCAACAGGTAAAGAGGGCTGTCAGCAATATTCTAGGCAAGATGGAGAGTCAACAGTATTTTCAGGTGAATCATGAGCAACTCTTTCCAGACTAGGCTGTGATGTCCCATATTCTGCTACCACACCCCAAAATGAAAAGCACTACTGCCAAACGCCACTCCCCATCATACCCTCCAAGACCGTGGAATACACATTATCTCTCCCTTACTCAAACCAGGTTCTAAAATCATTTGCACTTTTCAAAGATAACTACATTCACAGGAATAGAGGTTAGGACCCACTGAGGAAGTTGCCATCAGTAACTTGGTCAAGGCTGTCGAGACAAACCTTTTGAGTCGTTCCTGTTGTTGACAGGTGGCCGCAGGGGCTCCGTCTGAGGGCGTGAGTTGCTGCGGGATGCTGACTTGTCTTGTGTACCCTCTGATTTTACGTCCAACTGTAGTGGAACCCACTTTTGCTTGTACCCTGGACACATAGTGGAAAGCATTATCAAATCTGCACAAAAGAGATGTTGGACAGACAGTCTTCTAACATGCCACAGAACTAACCTATTCAGGAGAACAGTTTAAACTTGGAATACACTGATAGAAATAGTGGTCGAAGCAGCTTCAATGGCAGCTTCCAAAAGGGAGCTGGATAAACATTCGAAAATGAAAGATCTAAAGGGTTTTGGGTAAAGATTAGAGATTTGGCCCTTGCTATTTGTGGTACATATGCATGATTTAGACTTGAATGTAGCAGGGTTGATCAGTAAGTCCACGGATGATGGGGTGGTAAATAGTGAGGACAGCCTTGGATTATAGGCGGATATAGACAGGTTGGTTTGATGGACTGATCAGTGGCAAATGAACTTCAACCTAAGTGAGAGGTGATTAACTGTGGCAGGACAAACAAGGCCAGGGAATACATAATGAACAGTAGGACACTGAGAGGCACCGAGAATCACAAGGGTCTTTGTGTGCATGTCCACTAGCCCCTTAAAGTAATGACACAGGTAGATAAAGAAGCTAAGAAGGCAGATGGGGTACTCATCTTTATTAGTCAAGGCAGAGAGTTTAAGAGCAGGAAGCTAATGCTGGAACAATATAAAACATTGGTTAGGCCACAGTTGTAGTACTGCATGCAGTTCTGGAATACATACTAATGGAGGGATGTGACTGCACTGGAGAGGGTGCAGAGGAGATTTACCAGGATGTTGCCTGGGCTGGAGGGTTTTAGTTATGAAGAGAGATTGGATTGCTTTCCTTGGAGCAGAGGAGACTGAACGGGGTGGGGAATGTGATTGATATGTACAAAATTACGAGGGGTAATTACAGGGTAGACAGGAAATAACTTCTCTCTTTGGTGAAGGGATCAATAACCAGGGCATAGATTTAAGGTAAGTGGCAGGAGATTCAGGAGATATGAGTAAGCAAATTTTCACTCAGAGGATGGAAGGATCCTGTAAGGATAGCAGATGATGAAACCCTCTTAACATTTAAGAAGCATTTAAGTGCGCACTTACGATGCCAAGACACAGGGCTATGTTGGAAAATGAGACTTGACAAGTTCGCTGCTCGTTTTTGATCAGTGCAGACTCGATGGATCAAAGGGGCTTTTTCTGTACTGTAGAACTCTATAAATCCATAAAGGAATGAATTACATAGTTCTTTCAAGAGCTCGTACAGACACAACAGGTGAATGGCCTTTTATTCTGTTCAGATTCCATGAATTAGGAACAGTGGAACAGGGGTAGGAAGTCAAACCTGCTCTGCCAGTTAATATGATCACAGCTGACTGAACACATCAAAACCTTGTACTCACACTATCCCCATAAATTTTGTTAGATTGCTAAATACAAAATGTTTCCTTCTAAATATTTATCCAATTTCCTTTTGAATATACCATTGCATCTGCTTTTATCATCCTTTCAGGCAGCATATTCCAGAGCATAATTTACAGTATTATGAAGTTTCTTTGTTTCTCCTTTGCATCTTCTGTAAATCTCCTTAAATCTGCTTCACTGATTAGTTACCCTTCTGCCACCAGAAACAGTTTCTTGCCAGTCAGTCTCCAAAAATTCATGAATTCTTAAGTTTCATTGCTCTAAGGAGTAAAAACCACAGCATCTCCTGGATTGGAAATAGACTTAAAAATGACACCCCTTGAGATGTTGATTACAATTTTTACATGTTCTCCAAAATTTTTATATTTGCACTAATGAGTTTCAATTCTGTAACAGATACATTGCCATTATGAAGGGATCCTATTACACTTTTAACCTTTTGCCTACTAACCTTCGATTCTAACCCACCTGGGCCAGATCACTTTCAACACGTTAAAGTGTGCACAGCCTTCTTTCATATTTATACATCTCCTTGTCCTTTTCTATAACACGACAGTCTGATCATTGTTTCGGAAATGATCTCCTGCTTTGAAACAGCTTTCATCTGTCCACTCCATTTTCTGGAACAAGGTCCAGTGCTATTTCTTTCTTTAACAAAAACCAAAAGAACGGCAGATGCTGTAAATCAGGAACAAAAACAAAAACAAAGTTGCTGGAAAAGCTCAGCAAGTCTGGGCAGCATCTGTGAAGGAAAAAACAAGAGTTCATGTTTCGGGTCCAGAACGGAGGAAGGGTCACCGCACCCGAAACATTAACTCTTGTTTTTTCCTTCACAGATGCTGCCAGACCTGCTGGGCTTTTCCAGCAACTACTGCTTTCGTTCCTGTTTTCTTCCTTGCTGGGTTGGAAATAAGTGATTGAACAGACCCCTCAACACTAAGTCCACTTTCCCATTCCTGCTTTTAGAACATACCTTTCCTCTTCTGTGTAGATTTTTGCGAATCCTCATCGGCGCTCCGTTCCTCTGGTGATTCGTCAGATTTGGCTTTCTGGTTCTCTTTGCTCTCACTGCTGTCGCATTTCTCTGGCCGTTCCTTTCTAGCAGGTGGTTTTTTATTCTGTTGTGGCTTGCTGTTCTGTGGATGCTGCAAGAAAATGGCATGGAGGTGACAATAATCACTTACAGCTGTTCCAGGATTTAATTCCCCAGTCTCATAGAATCCCTACAGTGTGGAAACAGGCCCTTCCGCCCAACAAGTCTACTCCACCCCTTTGCAATAATCTTACTCACCTCAGAGGAAATAACTGGCTCCCATGTCTGAAACAAAAGACAAAAAGCAATTAAGAAGGTGGCCAATGAAGCTGAGCTCAGAGCACAGAAACGCTAAATTGTAGAACAATATCAGCCCAGCCTCATTTTACAGTAGACATTCGGAGCTTCATTTCATAACAGGCTTTGACAACTGGATCACAAAAGAGAAATCAAAAGACTTGCATTCATATCCCACCTTTCGCAATCACCCAATGTCTTTCACAGCCAAATAAATACTTTGCAAATCCAATCACTTCCGTAATGGAACAAAAACAGGCCCCATATAACAGAAGGTCTGACAGCAACACTTACACCAACAGCATTACCGCATCAAGAAAGAAAATAGATTTTGCATATTTATAGCTTCTTTTGCAAATCAGGATGTCAGAAATAAGTTACAATTGATTAATATTTGAAGCTTAGTAACTGTTGTAATATGAGAAACACAGCAAACAATTTATAACCAGCAAACCCTCAATGTGATAATTACCAGATAAACAAGTGTATAAACTTCAGAGGATAAATATTTACCAGAACGCTGTGGAGTAACCCCTTTGCTTTTGCTCCAAAAGTGCCACAAATCTTTTGCTATAATCTTTCAAATCTTGTCTAGATATGGATGGTACCAAAACATTAACAAGTGGAACATGTAACAAAAGTTATTCAAGAAATGCCGCAGGGACATTCATAGTAAATATAGGCCAATCAATTTAACATCAAAGATATGTAGGTTTTAGAATCAATCTAGGAGAAAGATATCAACAGGGATTTGGATTGGTTGGAGTTATTTAAGGAGAGCCAGTATAGATTTGTAAAAGGCAGATGCTCAAGTAAATTGGATGAGGTGACATAGTGGATTATTGCCTATATTAATAAAGTCTATGTGGTTTATATTTTTAAGGAAATTTTTGACAAACTAGCAGAAGCTGTAGTGGTTCTCCTTGGAGCATAGGAAATCTCAACTTGGTCTCCTAAGCGCACAAAAATATGACAGATTTAGGTAATGTAGACAAGGAAAGGCTGCTCTTATTAGCTATTGCAGAAGGATTAAAGAATACAGATTTAAGATTTTGGGTGAGAGTTGCACTCATAGAAGAAACATTTTCTACACGGCAAATGGTTAAAAGCTTGGAAATTGTTGCCTGGGAGGGTGGTAAAATCACAGACAATGAGTGATTTCAAAAGGGAACGGGATTGGCATTCGAGTGAAATAAACTTGTGCAGTCATGGGTATACAGCAAGAAAATGGGACTTATCAGATTGCTCTAGTGAGAACTACCACAGACTGATAGCCAAATGGCTGTCTTCCATGACAGAGTGACTATGACATACGTCGAAAGAGCAGTTAGGGACTCAGTTTAACAACCCATTTCAAAAAGTAGCACCTCAGATAAATAGTGGGATTTGATAATGTACTGGAGTATAGCCATTTTAATGTGCCTAAGTCTCTTCAATGGGATTTACCCAACACCCGTAAGCTAGAGAAGAGAATGCACCATCCAGAGGCAGTAGGTTTCTCCTTATAATACTTTGTCTCGGGATATGAAATTCCTGGAATAACTGTACATGCCTAATTGCCCTAAAGTAGGTGGTGGTAAGCCACATCCTTGAACCACAGTAGCCCATGTGACATAAGTACACAGGACTGTGATCCGAAATACTTCCAGGTGAGAATGGAGTGTGGTTTGGAGGTTCAGAATTAATAATTTTTGAAATAAGGATTAAGCAAAGTATGTTTAATTAACCTTCCAATGTTTAAAAGGCAACAGAACGGGAATGAATAGCTGATGAGTTTATTTTTAAAAGTTAGATTTTATCATCAAACAGATAGGCAAAGGGTAGCAAGTTCTTACCGGGTACACATCCTGTTTCACATGGGAACTCCAGGACATTTCCTCTGCTTGGGATAACCAGATGTGTACTGCAGGAGCTCTAGACTTCAGAGCTGGAGCAGCAGTTGGTGATGCTCTCAGGGCATCACTGAGCCGTGGGTGTAGCGAAAGCAGATTAATACATCTGGTCACCATGCAGGACTATCAGCATCATGAGGGTGCTGAAAAGAGTAGAAACTGTTCCCATTGGTGGAAGGATCGCGAACCAGAGGATACAGACTGGAGGTTATTGACCAAAGTAGCAATGGTGGCACAAGGAACTCTTTCATGCAATGAGTAGTTAGAATCTGGAATGCCTGAGCATATAATAGAGGCAAGATAAATGTAGGTTTTCAAAGGAGAATTGAATCATTATCTGAAAAGGAAAAGGAAAGGCACAAGACAAATTCCTCCACTTAGGGGTTCAACACAGGCACAGAAACAATGGAACCCCTCTGTGCTGTAACAACTTTATGACTCAATGTGTTGATACGTATGTGCGCATGTATGCATGTACAGTGTATCATTGTGCTGGAGAAGTGATATCTGGAAGGCATCAGTCATACTCTGCCTGCCTTAGAATGTCTTTTATTCTTTCTCCCTTCCTCTCCACAAGTCCTTTTTGCTTCTCCAAATTCACAGGACTTCACTTCAGTAATCAATATCTTGCGTATAATGCCTACAGAATGCCCCCACAGTAGCCCAGATACATAACCATCATTAGTTATTTTCTACATACCCACCATTAGTTATTTTCTACATACCACATCATTAACTGTCAATAATTCTACTAAGTTAGCTTGGCATAGTCTGCCTACCATTCAAAGTAGCATACTGATTCTTCTTGACCAACATTTAAAATTTGATCATTTATTTTAACAATTTTCGCATCTGACAGTAAACTCATGGTGCTGTGGCTTGCTACACAACAAAGTATTTCATTGATTACAAACTGCTTGAGTAGTCTGAGGTGACGAGGGGTGACACAGAAATGCAAGTTCTTCATAAATTTAAGCTTTGTCTCAACCCTTTTAAATTCATTCCAGAGGATTAGCAGAGGTTATTACTGCCCACTCACCGCAGTCTGAGCTATACTGCAAGCTCCTGAACTAAAAATGCACTGAGAAAGAACTCTTAAGGACCTGCGCTTATAGTGGCATCCAGTGACAGGAATGAGTACTGCAAGTTCATGAAAATGATTAAATGTAAAGTAAGAAATAGAACATGCTGTAAACACTCAACAGGTTGGGCAACGTCTGAGATTTTTTTTTAAAAAATCAGTTAACATTTCAAAAGTAGCTTTTTAAAAAATACAAAAATGTCAGGGAAGGGCACATGCATAACCACCCGACTTTTCCCACAACAAATGCACCACTCCACATCCATCGGATTCGCTTGGGATTGATTCGGGGTCCTGTGAAGAATACAATGGAGAGAGTTTCAGATTGGTACACGGCTATGGGGAGACACAAGGGCATGGGGTGAGGGCAAAATTAGAATTGGACTGAGACAGGGCTCTAGGGCAAGTGCAGGGATAAACACTCTTGTTGGTCAAACCAGCATTTAGTGCTTATCCCTAGTTGCCTCTATGAAGGCTGTGGTGAGTTATTTTCTTGAACCGCTATAGTTAACATGGTGTAGGTATACTATAATATTTTGAGAAAAGGAGTTCCAGGATTTTGAGTCAGTGACAGTAAAGGAATGGCAATATAGTTCCAAGTCAAAACACTGTGTAGTTTGGAGAAAAACTTGTAGCATTTGCATGCATTTACTGTCCTTGTCATTGTAAATGGTTGAGTTCACAGGTTTGAAATGTGGTACTGAAAGGGAGTTTCTGCAGTGCATCTCATAGCTGATACACTGCTGACATTATACATTGCTGATAGACAGAGTGAATATCGTACTGATGGATGGGCTGCAGTTAAGGAGCTGCTATACTGTAAAAGAGATTACTGAACGTTGGATCTGCACAGCAGTCAAGTGGAGAGTGTTGCATCACACTCATGGCTTGTGCCTTGTAGAGAGTGAGTCGCTCATCACAAGATTCCTATTCTCTCCCCCGTTATAGCCAACACGACCGTCTTATGGATAGTCCAGTCCATTTACTACACAATGGTAACCACCATGTTAAATCCACCACTACTAACAAAAAGGACAATGCCACTAGATGTTATGGGGAGACGGTTGCATTCTCTCTAGTTGGAGGTAATCACTGACTGGCACATGAGCAGCGTGAATGTTACTTTTCATTTGTCAGCCCAAGCCTAAATGCTCAGGTCTTGTTTTATACGGACACGGACTGTCACGGTGTTGAATCATCAACGAACATCCCCACTCCTAACCTTACGGTGAAAGGAAGATCTTTGATGAAGCAGCTGAAGATGGCTGGACAAAAGACACTACCCTGAGGAACCCCCACAAAGATTTCTTGGGACTGGAAAATGGAGCTAGAACAGCTGAGTCAACAAGCATCTTCTGATTCAGAGGTAGTGCACATGATGGCTCAAAGTTACTCAGAAATTTAACAAAAACCAGCATTTAAAACAAAGAAAAGTAGTCAGCTCAGATTTCAAAAGTTCCTGGCTGACTGATCTAATGATTTTTCTAAAACAACAAAGGGTAGGGTTACGATTAGGCGCTAAAAGCAGCTACTCAGAATAGGCAAAGGTCAGAAATGGTGTTCCACAAAAATCAATGCCAGAACCACTGGTAATTTGGTAATGACAATCAGCAATTGTTCACAGAGGATCATTGGCACCTCTGTTCAAGAGACACTTAGCTATCTAGCTCAAGTGTGGGACAATCCAAGACTAGTCTATATGAACCACTGCATCAAGCTAATAGTTTGAACCTGTGCTTTTGCATTCGTTCTGCAACACACTAGCTATCTAGCCAACTGAACTAGCTAACTCTACCACTGCTCTTCTTTGCTTAGATCAATGACTGTTTACAACTAATTTTCCAGTCTATTTTAACACCTGTGGGCGACACCAAATTGTACAGTTGAGAGAGCGCATGAATGCAACAAAATACTGGAAAACATTAATAAATTTGCAGAATAGATGTTTAATGGAAAATAAATTAAGTAGCTATTTGTGAGAGGTTACATTAAGATAAAAACTAAGGGAACCAAAACTGCTTATCTAAGTGTCTAAATAGGATAGAGAAGCAAAGGGATCAGATAGGGATTAGATATCATCCAAAGCAGTTTTGTAATAATCTGGGTCATTAAAAAAAACAACCAAGCACAGGGGTCTATGTTAAAAGTGATAAAATTGAAAGTCAGAAATATTGGTCTTGTGTTACCATATACCTAATATTGTGCACACTTCTAGTTTGCATATTAGAATAGTCATTGAGAAACAATGCCAGAACTAAGAGGGCAAAACAACAGGAAAGATGGAACAGTCTGTGGCTATTTTGGAAATGACCTGTTAAAAGTCTTTAAAATGGCTAATACGCTATATAAGGTAGACAGAGAAAATTGACCAAATTGTAACTAACCTACTCAAAATCCTTTCATATGAACAGAGCTAAAATGGATCCAACAATTCCATTTGCGACACAGTAAAAAAATCATAAATACAAGTCACTCAATACACAAATATTCAGAGAAAAGATTTCATCCAGAGTGTGAAGAAAGTCACATACAACAACAATACCTTGTTATTGACAATTTCACCAGGCGTGGGCCAGTTTGTGGTGTCACCAAAATCGCTGACCTGCAACAGAAAAATAATTCTTCCATCAGGTACTTTCAAATATAACCAATTCAATCAATACTTGTGGGTGTGCTGTCAAAATACTTTTGACAGCATCTTTTGTCCACTTATCCAAAACAAAAAATTAGGTTCTGCAGTTTGACTTTTTCCTCATTTCAAAATCCTGCAAACAATCATCTTACTTGACAATGAACAGTCATCTTGATAATGGTCAGACTTAGAGAAGAGTCACCAGATTCAAAACATTGACTTTGCTTTCTTCCCACAGATGCAGCAAGACTGGCTGAGCTCCCTCGCCAGCAGTTTCTGTCTTTGTTACCCCAGAATGCTTGTCAGGTGAACCACCAGACAAACAATGAATGTGTCAACCGAAAGAACTGCGGATGCTGTAAATCAGGAACAAAAACAAAGTTGCTGGAAAAGCTCAGCAGATCCAGCAGCAGCTGTGAAGGAAAAATCAGAGTTACTGTTTCAGGTCCGGTGACCCTTCCTCATGCCTAATGAGTTCAGGTGGTGGCAGACTGCTCTCCAATACTAGCGAAAGAAAATTCCACTCCTGGCTAGACTGTTTATACTGCATAAAACAGGAATGTCATTTGCTTTTATTTTGAGGGGGGTTACACAGAATTGAACTCTCAAACATTGGCATCACTGCAGTAACCATTGTAAACAAATCATTAACTTATGGGGTAGTTGGGATGTAAAAAGCAGTTTTGCAAGTCAGCAGCTTTTTGACAATGTCTGCCCATTTAAAACTGGTGAATAGGTCAACAATCCATATCGGTGTCCACAATTCTGTAATCCCACCTGGCAGGCTCTCCTGAGGTCAAAGTCAAAGTTCCTGATAATTATCCCCAAGCATTACGCCACACCCAAAAGTATATTTCTCTCCTCTTAAACCTTTCAGACAGCAAAGTGAAACTAAAGCTGCCAATAGCTTTAAAACTGTCCAATAAGATGTTGACCAAGGGTCACTAACATGGTAATCATGGGCAAATGGTAGTCTGCTGTCTGACAATCATGTTAAGATTTGGAAAATAACCACAGGATTCCAGTCATATAATTAATTCCTCACCACACACTAGTTTCCCAACTCTTGTCCCTTCCTGTAACATTGCTATGATAATGCTGTACACTTGTCTCATAACTGGCTAAATTGCAGCCTGAAGGTAATTTACCAATGTTGACACCATCTAGCCAGAGTCAGATCTATCCATGACAAGGCAAAACATGCACTTCTTCCATCAAGACCAGGAGAATGACTTGTTTTCAAGTCTGAAACATTCATGCATCTATTTAATCTATAGTGTGGATTGCAGTCAGAAAATTAAAACAAGGCACTTTGTAACAGTGCAGAAATATTTTGAGAAAGTTTTTCTTACAGTCTGTGGTCACAAAAAATGAAGTAAAAACTGCATTACACGGACAGCTTTTTTTTTACACCAACCATCCAAGGAAACTAATGTAGCAACAGAGACATCTTTCAAAGTTTCACATGATTTGACCAAGAGCATTTACAGATGGAGAGATTATGCAGGGCACGATGATTTCGATGGCCATGTTCTTATTCTGAGATTTCAAAAACATACCTGAAAATACATATGTCATTTCAGGCATGCAGTAAGGAGCAAATATCATGGCAAGAAGGGTATCTGCATTATTAGTCAATGTGATGGAGCAGTCAGAGAGGGATTTAACTGAACGTAAGTGGCTTTCTGTTCAAGGAAATGGATCAGTTTACACAAGCAATACTGCCCAGCTGGTAGTGTTTGTTCAATAATGTTTAAAAAATTCGTCATTAAAGAGGAATTTTCAACAGTTAGCGTCTGAAATCCAAAACCGGTGGAGATGATATCTACAATGAGGTGAAGAATTATTTTGCAAAGAATTTTGCACCATTGGCAAAACTAGTGGCAATAAATGATGGCATGCCAGCAATGATCATGTGTCATGCTGGTTTCATCGCAATGCATAAAGCTGACCCTAATCTCCCCCTTTTTTTTTTTGAATTATTGCTGTATCATTCACCACCAGGCAATTTATGCCAAAGTAATGGGGTCTAATTATGGACTGTCTCCTGCTGTTAGAATTCTTAGTTTGATTCACAAAGACCAAAAGCATCACTCTTGATGAACTGTCATTCTGCACAGTGATTTTTTGCTGCACATTGTATTCTTCCCTCTGCTAAGCCAGGGTCGATTTCTTTCACTTTTATCAGAAATCAGAAATCTGCAGTCAAGAAAGAAAGATATCAGCCAAGTATCAAACATTCAGCCGCTTGATATGGCATTTGTAACAGACAAATTAAATGACGTGAACCATGAACTGCAAGGAAAACAGATGACAACTATTGACAAAATGCAATATTTTCCTTCAGTGCTCCATAATGCTGAAGAAAGAGCTGCTGCTGGGTTTTTGCATGTTGACAAGTACAGTGATTTCCTCATCAGGCTTGGCTAAGAGTTCAGCAACAGGGTCAATGATTTTAGCCCAGCTGGAGCCTTAAACATTTACTTCAAAACCCTTTGCAAAAGTGGAAGCTAAATGACATTTCTGAACACATCAGCGTGCTCTTTAACCTTGATTGTGTCACTTTGGAAATGGAGATTGTGATTTTAAAGGCTAACATTCAGTTGAAATCAAGGCAATTTGCAGTTTCGTGATTAGTGAGAAGAGCAGTACCATCGCAAAGCAGCAATGGAAATAGCTTTCCTACTTGGTTTTACCTATCTTTGCAAATCCACCTTTACCAGCATGAACTTCTTCAAATCCAATTTCAAATTTGCTTGTCCGACTGGCACGAATGACTCCATCTGAATTGCTCTCTCAAGATATACACCACATTACTCAATGTCAAGTTTCACACTGAAATTGAGATAAAGACCAACTTTCCATCATTTAAAACATTTTTGGTAACTCAAACTGTAATAATTAGATATGTACCCTTATCAATTCATATTTTCCATACATGTTTTAGAGGCTTATGACGTTTTTCATTAATTAGAAATAGCTCTCATAAAAATAGGTTGGCAACCCCTGATGTAGAGTGAATGGCTTTCAATACATAGAGAAAAAGAGTCCTGTAATGTGTACACAAACTGTCTCGTAATGTAAATTGTGTCCAGTACAGCTGGCAACTTGAAAGCTACAAGAGCTAATTTTGGATCCTCGAGGGTTCTGTGCTGACTGGCTCATGGAGCAAGAAAATGAGAAGGTAAACGAGCAGGGCAGTATTTTAAGGTAAGATCTCTGAGCAGATAAATTTGGTTTTCAAAAAGGAGGGCAATGGGAGAGTGCGGCTTGGGTCCACAGTACTCAACAGATAAACTCCTTCCAATTCCAAATGTAGCATGTAATCATAATCTACTTCAGGAACATTTCCAAAATTGTTTTGTTTAAATGTTTAAAAGCGTGCCTTCACACCCAGGTTTAGTCAGTGGTGCATCCTGGCAAGAAACAGTTCAGCACCTGTGCATCACATAGCCAATTGTTCCATTTCTGTGCAAGGATAATCACCTGCAAAGCTACTGACTTCAATCTTCCTGACTAGCTGTGCAGTAGAGACCGGTGAGGCGAAGCACGCAGCAACTTGATGCTTCCTGCACAGGCACACATCCCTACCTGTGTTTACTGCAGCAATCCTATTCAAATGAATAATGTGGGGACACCTTTCCAAAGGTGAACTCCGCAGGGGTTTCTGAGGTATTCCCAAGAGATGCTCAGCAAAATCTATCTGAAGCTATAAAAACAAAAGTTGCTGGAAAAGCTCAGCAGGTCAGGCAGCATCTGTGACAAAAAAAAGTTAATGTTTCACATCTGGTGACCCTCAGAACTTCTTTCGCACTGGACCCTAAACGTTAACTCTTTTTTTTTCTTCACAGATGCTGCCTGACCTGCTGAGCTTTTCCAGCAACTTTGTTTTTTTTCCTGAATGACAACATCTGCAGTTCTTTCTGTTTTTATTATCTATCTTAAGCTGTGATTTGCAAACTTTTTAAGCCTACAACGTTATCAGTTTTACAAAAAACAGCTTCCATAAGCATTTCACTAAGAAACAGAACACTAAGCCTGGGAATTTAAAATTCATGAGTGAAGTCTTAGGAGGAAAGATGGACTGATTGCAAAGGGTGAAAGAAAGAAGACGTAAACTCTGGGATGGTTCCAAGAGTTGTGTGAAGGAAGGTTGTAGTGGTTGTGAGATGGAGATATCTAAGAGTCTGGAAATGGGAGTGCCAAAGTAACAGAGAAGAGGAATCTGCTAAGTGAGTACACAAAAGCCAGTGGAGACTGAAGAGAAGGATGAAGAATGTAAGTTTGAGCCAGTATATCGCTGCAAGGATGGTCATGAAAGACCATCATCCACTGCAAGCAACAGACAGAAGTGAGCCAACTACAGCTTAGGATCTCAGAGTCAATCTGCTTTTCATGTTACAATTCACTTTAATATTTCTGAAAACAGATATGTTGCCAAAGCTTGCGATCTTGCACTCAGCAGGACAAATGTAATAATGCCAAGCCAATACCAAATGCGAGAATTTCAAGCAAACCACAAAAATTTACAATTTACAGCAGAAAAGGGTACTACTTTTTCTTTATTTGTTCATGGGTTTAGGGCATCGCTGGCTAGGCAGCATTTATTGTTCATCCCTAATTGCCCAGAGGCCAGCTGAGAGTCAACCACATTGCTGTGGGTCTGGAATCACACGTAGGCCAGACTAAGTAAGGATGGCAGTTTCCTTCCCTAAAGGACATCAGCGAACCAGAGGGTTTTTCCAATAATCAACAATGGATTCACGGTCATCATTAGATTCTTAATTCCAGATATTTATGGAGTACAAATTCCACCATCTGCCATGGCTGGATTCGAACCTGGGTCCGACGAACATTATCTGGGTCTCTTGGATTAATGACCAGCGATAATACTACTAGGCCATCACCTCCCACACTGATGATTAGCAGGTCAACTCTGGTTAACTACAAGCTGTCCAACTCTGGGTAAT